TTTTTTTGGTTTTTCTCCGGTACCGGGAACTGAACTCACGACCTTGCGCTTGCCAGGCAGGCGCTTTTGCCGCTGAGCTAAATCCCCAGCCCTGGACTCCACATTTCTAAGTCAACCAAGATAATATTAAATCTCAACTCTGTTTGTGTAAATTTATAATGTTCCAGAAGCACATGCATGTGGCCTAGGAGCTATCTTGTTTCTCATATAATAATAATTATAAATTATTATTTATAATTAAAAATAAATGTAATCACAATCATATGCTAAGCATTATGCCAGAGGTTTTTTATTATGGTCTTATTTAAACATAATAATTATAAATTATTATTTTCCTTATTCCTTCCTGCCTTTATTTCTCTTCCCTGGCAAGATAGGGTCAAGCACTCCACCACCCCACCACCAGCATCACCACCAGCCTGAAGTAGCCATAAGATAGATCTTCAGCCTCTTTTATGTCCCTTAACGATACAGGATCAAAGTCTAAGGGAGGCAGGGGTGAGACAGTATTTCCTGGTAGCTGTGTTGTATTTGAAAACATACAACAGTCATTCACTTTAGTTGTTTTGTTTTGTTTTCTTTTGGGTACCAGGCATCAAACTCAGGACTTTGCGCTTGCCGGCAGACACTCGCTTTAGTTTTAAAATTAAGTTATTTTGGAGCTAAAATTTAGTGTGAAACATTATTCCCAAGTATTCTGCATTTTTGTGCTTTTACTTAAACTCTCCTGAAAGATTTTTGTTGCTAGTGTTTTGTTTTATTTCTGGTGGGAAGGATGATACCCCAGGGCTTTAGGTATATTAAACAAACACTGTATCCTGAGCCACATTCCTAATACTCTTAAAAGTTCATGTTTTTAATCATGTTCCTTTCTTGGGATATATAACTTATACTTGTGAATTTTACAATAAATGAAAATTTAAGAGTATGTTTTTACCATGTTATCTCCTAAACTCTGAATATTAATTACGTTCATTCAGATTTCATCTGGTGAATACATTCAGATGTCTGGTCGTGCCGGAAGAAGGGGAATGGATGACAGAGGAATTGTAATTCTTATGGTAGATGAAAAGATGAGCCCAACAGTTGGAAAACAGCTGCTTAAGGTAACTGAGTTAAGGTTCTGTGCTTTAACCCAGAATCCTAGGAATATGTTTAGGAGCCACTTTGAAATTAGTTGTATCAGTTCATGTACTTTCTGAAGTAGTTAAATTGATTAAACTATCTGCACTTGAGAAGGTAGAAGAGGATAACTGTTGAGAATACTGAGATATTACATCTAGCTTCCTTTAATTGGCAAAGAGCACTCACAGCAGTGGTGAGGCCATGTGAAGAGCCCCAGAGTAGGCCAAAGCACTTACTTCACCCTTCAAATTTAAGATACCTCTGTCTGCCTCCTCCATTGCGTATCTTGCTCTTTATCTGTCAAAATAGGAAGTAGGACATATGATTATTTCAGACAGTCAGCTTTCTCTACCTTTGCAAGCCCAAATAGCTCAATAAATTAATTCAGCAGTATAGCTTTCTGGTTAATCTTGTTGATGTAAAGCAGTCTAATCATAAGTTTAAGTTCTTAAGCTTTATTACAGATCATCCTTTTATTTTACTTGGTTTTTGAGTTTTGAGTTGGATATAGCTCAGTATTGTGAATAGTTATCCTTTTCTACCTCCTCTACCTTTTATTTTTATTTTTATTTGAAGAGCTTCTCAAGAAAGTTTGACCTGATTGCTTTCCTTGTCCTTCATTTAATAAGAAGTTTAAAAGCCGTAGAGAAAACAAGCTAGTAAACATTAACTAAAAATATATTATGGATTGCCAGCTTATTAGCTATTGTACAATGAAGCTTTAAAACATAGTAGTATGTGTCAGTGTCTATGAAATAGACTATTTCATTCTAAAACTCAAGAACTTTGTGGAGAATTTGAGATAAAGTATGCCAAAGCAAAAATACATAAAGGTATGTGTATTTCTTATGAGAGTGAAGACAGTATGTCTGTACATATTCATAGCAATCATATGATATCTTATTTTTATTTTAAAAAGATAATACTTGGGAGTAGGGTCATTTAACTTTAGTTCTTCAGGGAAGGAAAATTACACATGACTGAAAATTTGTTTTTTAATTATTTTCTTTAAATTCTTCCAGTATTATTTTTTTCTCTTATATTTTATACGTGGAAAAAACAGAGTCACATTATCTCTCACCAGTTGTAGGAGGTTTATACTTTTATGGCAGTATCTGGTTCCTTTAGTTTTCTTTTCATTTACTTGACATTTACTGGATTTGTTACTCTATTTGAAAAATTATATTGTCTATATTTTGATATTTAAGGCTTGTTCAGCAACTCCCCAAAAACTGTATCAATCACTTTTCTCTCCTCAAATTCCCTAGTACACTAAGCCTTGGGAACTACTAATCCTACTGTGTCTGTAGATGTGTCCATTCTGGATGTTTCAGATAAACAGATTCATACAGTGTGTGACCTTCTACATCGTATACCACATTTTTTATCCATTCATCAATGGATAGACAGTTGTTCATTTTTGCTTTTTGACCACTGTGATTAATGCTGCTATGAACATTTGTCTACAAGTTTCTGTGTATTTGTTTTCTTTTCATCTGGGTGTATAAGTAGGAGTTTAATAGCTAAATTATACAAGAATTCTGGGTTTAACATTTTGAGGAACTGCCAGGCACCATTTTACATTCCCACCAGCACTGTAAGAGGATACCAATTTCTCTGTATTCTAGCCAGTACTGGTTAGCTGTCTTTCTGATTGCTAGCTATCTTAGTGGATGTGAAATGGATCGTTGCACTTTGAATATTGTTAGTGTAATTAATTAGAAGGATTTAGTACCTATTTGTATTTCTAGACACATTTCTTTTATTAAGACTAATTCTTAAAAAAAGACTAATTGTCCTGTAGGAGTGTTTTCAGGTAATTTTATTGTCATTAAAGAATTTATATGCAATTTATTCAGGAACAGTTATAACTAATACCTACAGAATATTTAATACGTTCCATAAAGTTAACAATATTTGCTTACTAATTACTGGTATGATGTATATTTTATAAATGAGTAATTACATAAAAAAATTAAAGAATTTGTCCAAAATCCTGTTGTTAAGTGTCAAATCCTGATTTTGGATTTCAGTCCATGTTCTTAATCAGCATGTGGTACTGCTTCCTAGTACCTTATACAAATAGATTTCTCAGCTATTAGCTGAAATACAATTTGACATAAAATAGCAATGTGTTCGTCGGTATACTTAATAAGGTATATGACCTTAAAAATCAGTTTGTTATTCTATTAGGCTTGCTTTCTTATAAACCAAAAAAGTAATTGAGATTCACTGTTAAATAGTATGACATCCTTAAACAGAAAGACTATTATAAGTTATTTTCTCGAACTATTAGAATACATAACTTCTTCAGTCATCTTGTACAGTATGTCAAGAAAGTAGATATACTCTATTGTTAGTACTGGCTAGGTTATGCTCCAGTAATGAATATTAAGTCTTAATGGGCTTCAGAGACATTTCTTTTACTTGCTATTTGATCACTACAGGTTGATAAGGAGCTGCTATTTGTCTGTCTGTTTCTTTTCCTAAATCTTTCTGGGTTTTTGATACAGAATGTTGCTGTGTAGCCCAGGCTAGCCTTGTTTGAATTCACAGTCCTTCTGCTTCAGCTGGGATTGCACACCTGACTACATCATTACTTATAGGTGTACAATCTATAATGTACACCTATAAGTAATGGGGCAGTTCAGATGGTTGCACAGTACTTAATTATTTCTCATGTTGATAGTAGCCGAAAAGATGGCAAAATACATGGCAACTTACTAGTTGGTGAAAAGATAGTTGCAACAGTTTTCAGTATCTCGTTACATGTATACACATTTATATATTTAAGCATGTGAACAATATTCAGTTTTGTAATATTTTCCCTTCTCTTTTTTTGACTTGATTAATTTGTAAAGGAATAATAGAGAAACTCTTCACCTTTTCCCGTCCTGCTATTCTTGTGGTATTCTTTTTAGTTGTTGTTTATCTGATACCTTAAGGTCCATTACACTTTATTAGACTTTTCAACCATTAACTCAAACAGAATTTGACATAGAACAGCAGTTTGTTCTTTCAGTATACTTTTTTTGAGCTTTTAAGTCAAGGGATTACAATTTTTCAAATCATAAGTTGATTCAGTGGGGAAATGTGAACCTTCTAGAAATACTGTTGAATGCATCTTTTATTTATCAGCAGTTAAGAGATGTTGTACATTTCTCCAGTACAACTGGAAGAAACTAATGTGTTCTAATATGCTGCTTACGTTGTCTGAAGAATGTAAAAATATTATAGTAGTTTGACTACATATCATCATTATTCATTTATCAAAATGAAGATATTTATTTAATTTTTAAATGATGAAATAAGCTTACTGGTTTCTCACAATACATGAAGTAGGAGTACGGTGCTTTTAGTTATTGATGGGTCCTTTTCAACAGTAAACCAGATTGTTAATAGTTAAGGAAGATTGAACTGGCTTCAAAGAAAATAATTTTGAATTCACTTGTTATTTAAATAAATACACACATACATACACTCTTGATATTAGATGTGTGATGTACTCAAAATAACTACTTACTGAGCTCTGGAAGAAAAAGTGGAAAGAACCACATTCATGTGTTGTTCCTTTTTCCACCTTTATGGTTCATAATACAAAAACATTTACACTGGCAATTTTTAAACTACTTGCTTGATGAACCATATATTCTAAAATGTAAGCGATTGTTTTAAGTATACTAGTATTTACAAAATACTGCAGAAGATGCTTTAGAAAATTGATTTAATTTTCTCATTCTTCACATTTTTTCTTTGCTTTTTTTTTTTTTTTTTTTTTTTTTTTTTAGTAATTTTATTGATCAGGCTTCTTGGTTACAAACAATTCCACTTAGCCTGCATTTTATTTGTTTGTTTTTGTGGTGCTAGGGATCGAACCCAGGGCCTTGTGCATGCAAGGCAAGAACTCTACCACTGAGCCACATCCTCAGCCCTTCACATTTTTTCAGTAAGCAATTTGGCCTAGAATTTTTCAGATCTTAACTTATCATTGGTTACAACCTGTTTTGTTCCAGTTACGTTTTAGGTGACCCTTTTATGAGGGTGTTTGTTGTTAGGTTATTTGAGACTGTATAAGTTGGCTAATCACATTAAATACATGAACAATGAAAAATACTTGATCAACATTTTAAAGTATCTATTTTTAGTAGTATGTATGAGTGATTATTGATAGAGATACAAATTAAGTTACTGTATGAACTTGCAGTGTGGAGGACATTAGGCTCAGTCATGCTTAATTTTAGCTTCCATCTATTTAGCCTTCGCAAGTCCTTTCACCTTTCTGAGCTTCTGTTGTTCAAAGTGGAGACAATAAAATCCATCTGGTTATACATGTTATTAAAGATTTATAATATTATATTTAATATATTATTTTATTATTTTCAGCTATTCATAGCCAAAAAGCCAAAAAACAGCTGAAGATTTATTAAAGGGTTTTGGGTAGTGATTGGCATAAGGGGATAAAATCCAGGACCTGTGCACTGAGCTACATCCCAAGCCTTTATTTATTTTTAAAACTTTAGTTTTAAAAAAAGAGTAGTAGAGAGTAAGTATAAAAATCATTACTACATTTGCAGTAATGATTACATTCCTTGTGGGAAGTTGGTACATATGTATAACACATCTTAACTCGTTTTCATCCCTTCACTCTCTTTCCCTCTGTCTCTTGGTCCCCTTCCCCTTTGCAAAAATCTATCTCCAATTGGTAATATATCTTTTACTTTGCTTTTTATTCTGGGTCTCCCAGAAAGGGTTCAAACTTGGAATCCTCCAACCTCAAACTGGTAGAATAGGGGGTGTACCATCACACAGGCAGTTGCCATCACACCAGGCTGACCAAGGATCCATAGAACAGAAAATAGTACAAGACTTACTGCTAGAAAATGAGTTCTAGTAATTCTGGTTCAGAGAAATTTGAGATGATTTTGGACAGCTTATGAGTAAAGGTTTTATGAAAGAAATTTTCTGCAGGTGAGCTCTGTGAGGGTGGGAGGGGTTGTGTTTTGAAGTTCAGAACTAAAAAAGAGTGACTTCTGGAAAGAGAGGGGGGAGGGGCCTTTACAGTCAAGAATTGACATGTATTTGGGGTCCTTTGAACAAAAGATTTGTGTGAATACTTAATGGTTAAAAAAGATGAGTTTATTATTTTCATTGTTAAATTGAGTATTCAGTTCTGAGGCTGCTATTTTTCTAACTTCTTCACCCTTTCTTTCTTAGCAAGCAGTAGTTTGTAATTGCTAAGTACCTAGTATACTTCTGTGTGTACCTGAAATGACAGTTTAAAACAACATACTTTTAAATTTTTTTTTAATTTTTTATTATTCCACATTTGTTACACATAGTGCTCACACTCACGTGGAATTTGTACCGGTACATAATATATCTTAATTCTTTTTCTCTCATCCCCCTCTGCTCCCTTTCCCCTTCTTCTTCTCCCCATTGTTTTAATTTTTTCTATTTTTTGTTATTTTTAATCCCATTTTCCTTTCTCCCCTCCCTCCTTATTCCCCTTTCCACCTGAACATGTTCTTCCTACTTTCAAATATCTGTTCATTTGGTTCCTTATTTACCCTTTATGTTTCTCAAACAAGCAAAGCAGTGGGATATTTAAGCTTGTGTGCCTTGCTTATTTTATTTAAAATTATGCATCCATTTACTTGTAAATGATTCAACTTCATCCTTCTTTAAGGCAGAGTAGTACTGTCTTGTATATAAATACTGCATTTTATTTATCCATCTATTGATGAGCATATGAGTTATTTCCAAGATTTAACTCTTATAAATTGTGCTGCTATAAATGTGGGTATGCACATATCACTGTGGTTTAATGCTTTTAATTATTTTGGGAAGATCCCTAGCAGAGGACTAGCTGGGTCAAGTGTAACCCCCAGATTTGGTATTTTGAGAAATCTCCATGCTAATTTCCATAGTGACTGTGCCAATTTACATTCCCACCAACAGAGGAGAAGCGTTCCTTTTTCCCCACAGCCCCCCAGCATTTGTTATTGGTTGATTTCTTGATGATAGCCATTCTTTCTGGACTGAGATGGAGTCTGAGTATTGTTTTAATTTGCATTTCTGAAATGACCAGTGATACTGAACATTTTTTCACATATTTATTTGCTATTTCTACTTCCTTGTCTGAGAAGTGTCTTTATTTCAAATGCCATTTTTGGATTAGGTCTTTGAAGTTGGGGGGGTTTAATTATTTTTTAACTTCTTTATGTATTCTAGGTAATGGCCCTTTGAGGAATAGCTAGTAAAAATTTTTTCCCATTCTATGGATTGTCTCTTCACTCTGGTAGTTTCTTTTGCTATGCAAAAGCTTTTTAATTTGATATGATCCCAGTTGTTGATTTCTTTTTTTTTTTTTTTTTTTTGGTTTTCTTCCGGTACCAGGAATCGAACTCACAACCTTGCGCTTGCCAGGCAGGTGCTGTGCAACTGAGTGAAATCCCCAACCCCCCAGTTGTTGATTTCTGTAATTTTTCCTACGCAGAGTTTTGTTTACAAAAGTCTTTGCCTACACCTGTGTCTTCACACCAACTATTAAAAACTTGTCCAGAAAGTAGCATGTTAATTACCTCCATAACTTACTGATACCACCACTGCAGGCCAGAAAAAGCAGTTTCGACATGTGTTTGGAAGGCAGAGAACTATGTTATCGCTTTGTTTTGGTCAAGGAAAGAATAGTATTTCTTAGTATCCTATCATATTATATAGTATTTCTTAACATAGATTAAATGATTAGCATTTTATCAGGTTAAAATTACTTGTGTAAGTTTATTTGAAAAATGTGCAAAATTTACATGTTTTTCTCCCTTAGGGCTCAGCCGATCCTCTCAATAGTGCTTTCCATTTGACCTACAACATGGTTTTGAACTTACTACGTGTTGAAGAAATTAACCCTGAGTATATGCTAGAAAAATCCTTCTACCAGTTTCAGCATTATAGAGCAATTCCAGGAGTAGTAGAGAGTAAGTATAAAAAACATCCTTCTTTTAACTAGATTAAATAAAATGATTATATTATTGGCTAATTTGGCCTTGTTTTTTGCTAGTGAGACATCTTGTTCCTTAGGATTGTAGTACGATTGTAGTCCAGTCTTCTTAGACTGGAGCAGTTGAAAGTGAAAGTAGGAAAAGGCTGGCCAAACACTTTTTCTAATTGGTTCTACCACAGTATAGTTTATTGGTTTAGCATGTCTGTCATATGATAATGCATATTCCTGAATAATGAAATTTTAAAGAGCTTGGTAGATTAAGATTTGACTTGTAAGATACATCTGTACATTTGACTTTGATCTTGTACCATTTCTAAGAGTACTATGGCATTTTAACTTGGATTTGAGTTCAGCGTTTTTGGAATTTCCATTTCCTAATATCATGTTTATCTAAAGTCCAAAAAAGTAGTTGTTCTGTAGTAAGTATGTTCACATAGTGTAACTGATCATTACATAGAGCTGACTAAAAACTATAAAGTTTTTAAGCTATGGGTTTGGTTAATCTTATAAAAATAATGCATAGTCATAAAAGTGGGAACACAAAATGCAGAAACAAAGTTAAAATTATTCTTTCATAAAAATAGCTGTTAAACCACTTTAACATTTTGTAGTTTGTTCTTCTTTCTCACATATGTAAAGAATGAGGGGCTGGGGATTTAGCTCAGCGGCAAAAAGCGCCTGCCTGGCAAGCACAAGGTTGTGAGTTCGGTTCCCGGTACCGGAGAAAAACCAAAAAAAGAATGAGATGTGCAGTTTTTGTAATAATTATGGTATTTATAATTGATATCATTTGTTAAATATGTACCTTATGCCTAGCCTTGTGTTGAATACTTTATATTCACGCGCTCATTATTCTGGCTTTTACAATTGTAAGTATTCTTTGAAAATATGTTTAGTGAGTTTTATTTCCATTTTTGAAAATACCATGATTGATTTAACAGTGGCAAGCTAGAGGTTCCTTTTTTTGTTGTTGTTTTCTTCTGGTACCGGGAATCGAACTCACGACCTTGCCCTTGCCAGGCAAGTGCTGTGCCACTGAGCTAAATCCCCAGCCCTAGAGGTTCCTTTTTATCACTGGTGCAAAGGGAGCAATTTACTTACTTTTATACAGCCACAGTTAAACTGTGATAAGCCTTAGAGGAATGAAAAATGCTTAAAAGATCCAAAGAAGTCAATTTCTTTTTCTCCTTTAAAAAAAAAAAACCCTTATGTGGAGGATAGAGCATAAAACAATTTATTCTTTCCTTAATATTTCTGGCCATTTGGTATTTATTTTTAAGAAAAACAACAATGCCAGGTCCTGGGTTTGATCTCCAGAACCATAAAAAGTAAAGGGTGGAGGACAACAAAATGATGTGGTCAGTATAGAAAATAGGTTGCCCGTGTATTAAGTTATATAGAGAACTATCGTATCACCCAGCAACTTCATGCCTGGGTATATATCCAAAGAATTGAAGACATATTCAATCAAAAACTTGTTTGATATTCATAGTAGCACCACGCATCATAACCAGAGAGTAAGAGTAATCTAGATGTCCATCAGCAGATAAATCTGTGGACACATGCATTATATTCATATAGTAGAGTATTATCCAAAAACTCCTGATGAAGTACTAGTGTATACTTTTATAGATAAACTTCAGAAACATGCTTAATGAAAGGAAGCCAGACATAAAAGCCCACATATTGTCTGTTGCCATATGTATGCAGTGTCTAGACTAGAAAAACCCATAGAGACAGAAAGCACAGAGAAAGATTGGCAAAATGAAGTGTTTTGTTAATGGGTATAGTTTCATTTTGGAGTGGTAGAGAAGTTCCTGAACTAAAAAGGTATTGGTTGTGAACATACTAAATATCACTAATAGTAAATTTTGTGTTATGTGTATTTTATCACAACAAAAATAGTTCGTAAACAATGGATTGGAAGCATACTGGAATGAAGGAGGAAGGGAAATAGCACTAGAGGCAAAGTTAGGGTGGAGAATGGAATCGTACAGTAAGAGGATAGTTACCATAGGCTGAGACATAAGGTGACCTTAATGGAGAAGGAAGGGGATAATTAGACTGTATGCCTTAAGTCATTGCTAAAGAGTCTTTTCCTTAAAACTTCCAGTATAATCTGTGCAAACTGACTTTGTTCCTTATACTTATAGTATTAAAAAATATAATTGATGGATGTAATTTATAAATTATATATACATATGTTATATCATGCATGTATTTTATTTTCAGAGGTTAAAAACTCAGAACAACAGTACAATAAAATAGTAATTCCTAATGAAGAAAGTGTAGTCATCTATTACAAGATTAGACAGCAGCTTGCTAAATTGGGTAAAGAAATTGAAGAATATATTCACAAACCAAAATACTGCTTACCATTTCTACAACCAGGTCGTTTGGTAAAGGTATGTCATTGTTCATAAAATATTTCACTATTTCAGTGTTTTGGATAACAATCTGGTGCTTACTTTGGTAAAATGCTTCCTGCTACAGTAATTGATCTGTGATAATTATTTTAACTCTTTCGTAGGACACTGATTTATGGGCCTTTTGAAGGCCTTTTATAAAAATCACCAGTGGTTTTCATTTTGGGAAACACAAATTGAAATAATTTTGAAATTACTATATAAAGTATTTCTGATTAATACTACCTAAAGTACAATTTAAATAAAGTCTTAGATAAAGTCATGAGATGTAGAAGACTCAAAATATTCTCAGAACAAATTACACTCATTTTATTTGCCAGTTGAATCCTATTCTAAGGATTGAATAGGATTGAACTTTGGCTTTTTTTTTTTCTTGTAAAATTAAGATCTTGGTACTTGAATATAGCATTTATCTTTGAGAAAATAGTAGGAAATAAAAAAATTCTCTTATAATGTAGGGATGGAAAGCTGCACTCGCCTTTTTGATGTATTATGGTTTACTTTCTTATCTTCAGGTAAAGAATGAAGGAGACGACTTTGGCTGGGGAGTAGTGGTGAATTTCTCAAAAAAGTCAAATGTTAAGGTAAGCTGTTACCCTTAAAGTCAATTATATGCGTGTTTTTAATGAATTGGTTTTTCAGACTCAAAAAATTTGTCTAAATACAATTACTGTAAGATAAGAAGTAATAAACTCTGTCCTGAGGAATTAATTTTTTAAATAATCTAAATTCTGTCCTCAAAATGGTGTCCTTACTTTTGACAACAAAATATGAATTTCCATTTTCAGACATTAAACCAACTTTGGATCCCTGAGATAAGTCCTGCTTTGTAATGGTGTATTTTTTGTTTAATATATTGGTGGATTCATTTTGCTACTATGTTGTTGAGGATTTTTGCACCCATACTCATAGAAGACACTGATTGTAGTTTTCTTACAATGTCTTTGGGTTTGGTATCAGTGGCTTGATAGACGGAGTTTAGAAAGTATTCTCCTCTGCTTTGAAGAATTCGTATGATATCTTTAAGTATTTGGTATAACCTGGCAGTGTGGCTACCTAAGCCTGGGCTATTATTTGTGGGTAGTTTTTTGATTACTATGTTAGTCTTTTTACTTGGTATGGCCTATGTGGATTGTCTTTCTTTTTTACTTGATTTTATTTCAGTTGTACTTGGGATTGAACTCAGTGGCGTTTTACTACTAAGATACATTTCCTAGCCCTGCTTGTTAAAAAATTTTTGAGACAGGGTCTTAAGTTGCCAAGCCTTTCATGTAGGGATTTCAGGCGTCTGCTGTCAAGCTGGTCTCAAGTTTTCTGTTTCTTCCTGCAATACTTTCCAAAATTTGTATCTTACTAGGAATTAATTTGTGTCACCATAGTTATCTTTATTTGTATACAGTTATTTGTATTGTTACTTTAATCCTTGCAGTTCTGTAAAGTTGTTCATAGTGTCCTCTTTTATTTCTGATTCTAAGAATTTCAATCCTTTGTACAAAGGTTTTTCAATTTTGTTAGTTTTGTATATTGTGTCATTTTCATTCTTAAGGTATTTTTTCATTTCCCCTTTGACTTGGTTGACCCATTGATTACTTAGAAGTGTGTTAATTGCCATATTTGTGAATTCCCTTCAAATTTTGTCTTTTTAAATTTCCCTCTATTTTTGTTAAGAATATACTTGGTATTCGGTATTATTTCAGTCATTGTCAGTTGGTCCAAATATACATAATACCTTGACACATGGTCTGTCTCTTAGTTCTGGTTAATTAATGTTGTTGTTCACTCTTTTCTTAAGTAATTCCTTCTGGTTGTTATATCCATGATTGTAAGTTGGGTGCTGTCTCTTAACTGCTCTTTACATTGTCTGTTTCTCCCTTTGTTACTGTCAGTTTTTACTTCATTTATTTTCATGCTCTATTAAAGTGTATCTTGTCTCATGTTAGTATAACCACTTAAGCTTTTTTTTTCCTTTGGCTGTCTATGGCATAATATATCTTTTCCAGTCTTCTTTATATCAGTAAATTTAAAGTGTCTCCTGTATTAGTGTCTCTTATATTTAGTTTACTTTGTATTTTTATCAGATCAGTAAGTATCTCTCATTTCTGGGTTGCTTAATCCATTCATGTTTAATTTTATTGATAAATTGGGGTTATTTCGGCTATTTTTCCTATATCTTATGCCTTATTTTTCTACTTTATTGCTTTTTTTTTGCTGCAAATGAGTATTTTGTAATGTAGCATTTTAATAATGCTACAGTATGCTTTTTGTTATTTTCTCAGTGGTTTCTAGTATATTTCTGTGTGTGTGTGTGTGTGTGTGTGTGTGTGTGTGTGTGTGTGTGTGTATCTCAAATTATTAAGATCAGCCGTAGCTGGGCGTTGTGGTGCACGCCTATAATCCCAGCATTCAGGAGGCTGAGGTAGGAGGATTCTTGAGATGAGCTTGAGCTACAAAGTGAGCTCAAGGCCAGCCTAAAGTGCATAGTGAGACCCTGTCTCAAAAAGACAAAAGAAAATGATCAGGCATGGATTTCTACTGACTTAATTCCAGTGATATAGAAGAATATGATCCTCATTTACATCTCTTCCATTACACGCTTTCTCTCCAGCCTCTTCACCTCCTAATGGCAGTTGAACCCAGGGGTCTTAACAAGGACTCTATCATTTTTTCTCTCTAATCCAACAATATGTTGTTAGAATTATTACCTTAATATAATTTTGCAGCTTTTAAAAAAATGGTTGCTGGAGATCAAGCCCAGTCTTTTACATGCGATACCCATGTCTCCCACTGAGCTACACTCGTAGCAGTTTTACAACTTTTTAAGGATGCTTGTGAAAAAGCAATTATATATTTATAGTATCTGTTATACTAACCTTTTATTATTTCTGGTTCTTCTCTCTCTTTTGTTTGTTTTGTTTTATTTCTGTGGACTTGAATCATCTCAAGTTATTGTCTTAACCCAGTACAGCTTTGTTCCCACCCACCTACTTTTGCTGCCAGATATACATTTTAATATGGTAGTAATTAATAATGCAATATACGTAGTTTTATAAACTGTTTCTTAAACCATTTAAGAGTAATTACCTTTATCAGTGTTCTTTGTGTGTATTCATATAAATGTCTGAAGAACTTTTAGTATTTCTTGGGAGACAGGTATGTTATCAACAAATTCTCTTAATTTATCCTTATCTAGGAATGTATTTTGGCTTCATTTTTGAAAGATAGCTGCTGGATATGGAATTCTCAGTGGACAGTTTTGTTTTCTGATTTTTTTCTTTGTGCTAGCGGAGTGCTTTCTAGACTTCATTATTTGTGCTGAGAAGTTTCTGCTGTTAATTTTGTTGGTATGTTCTTGGAAACGATGAGTCCTTTTCTCTTGAAGCTTTCCAGATTTTTCCTTGTGTCTTGGCTTTCTTTATTTTTTACTCTGATACAGTTATCTATATATAAGTATCTATGCTATTCTTTGCACTTATCCTACTTGGAGTTGGTTGAGTTTCTAGATATGTAGCCTTTTTTCCGAGTAAGTTCGAAGTGTTTTCAGGCAATACTTCTGTGAAGTTTTTTCTACTTCTTTTTTTCCAGTCCTTCTGGGACTCTTTGTGTATACTGTTGAGCTCTTGGGTGCCCTGCATTTCTCTGAGGCTCATTATTTTCCTCATTATTCTTCACTGTTTTTTGAGGGAGAGTTACCTTTTTGATCGAATAATCTGTTTGTTTTCAAGTTTGTTAATGGTTTCTTCTGCCAGTTTAGATCTGTTATTAGGCTCCTTTAATGTTTTTTTGTCATTTTAATTATCATAATTTTAAGATTCTAAATTTCCTTAAATCTTTTTAATAACCTTTCTCTTTGTTAATATTTACTATATGACACTATATTGTTACTGTACCTTTTTTTTTTCCTGTTCATTTCTTTGAAAATACTTATATTGTCTTCTTTTGCTCACTTGTAAAGGCAGCTTCTGCCCCCTTCTGCTATGTGGGTCATGGATCATGCTTTTTGTTTCTGTACATGTCTCACTTCTTTATTAGAAAATGGATACTTTAGATAATATGATAATTCTTGATATTCCTCTCCCTTACAGGCTGCTGCTGTTATTTGCTCATTTGTTTAGTGACTTGCTAGATCAGTGATGTTGAACCTATAGCGTACAGGTTATTTGTTTTTCTAAGACAAAAGATATTAATGCATGAATTGTTTTTAACCAAACTAAAACCTCAGTATTCAGATTTAATTGTAGTAGGGACACATTGTGATAAATAAGTGGGTTTGGGATTGTAGTTTGGGCACTCATCTCTAAAAGGTTCACCGTCACTGGGCTAGATTATTCTGAGTGAAGTCTCTCTGCCCCACCTGTCTCACTCACATGAGAGTGAAGCTTTTCATGTTGCTCTTGAGGTGGGGATGAAGGTCTTGGCCGTGGAAATGCCACAGTCACTCTGGGATGGCAGGAATCTTTGGGTATGTCTTTCTTTGACCCAGCTGTTAAGCTCCAATAGCAGGAAGGCTCCTCCAACTGTCTCTAAAACAAGGTTCGGTCCTACAGACTAGCTGGCCTTACAACTTAGTATGTCTCCAGTGGATCTGCAGCTCTACAGATGATACTTCCTCATGGCCTCCACCATTTCTGAGTGTTTCCTTATGCTTGAACTCTCCAGGCACTGGCACAGATGAAATCATTGGCTTTGGGAATGTACTATATTTGTGTGTAAACTTGCTTTTCCTCCCAGGCGGTCTCTAAGCCATAGTTTTACCACTGGTAGTGAACACACTCTTTTCCCTGAGTGGCATTCTGTTTAAGGCACTGAGAGGTGAGTGGGAAAGAGGAAGCAGTAGTCGCAAAGTCTTCTCAACTTGCTTCTCCCAACCTGGAACCAATACCTTAAGAAGCCAAAGCTTTGAAGGGTTGTTGGGGCACATTTTCTCAGTAGCCCCACATCCGAGATAGAACCTCCGGCCAGCTGTCAGGGCCTGTGTAGGAGAAGGCCCTTACCATTCAGCCTTATGTGCCCAGAACGTCCTTGGCCTCAGCAGCAGTGAAGTGGGAAGCAGAATGAGGACTGCCAGTGTCATGCCACCCCTACAGAAATAGCCCTCCAAGGGAAAGCAGCTGGGAGAGGGATCCCACCTGTGGTTTTTTGATTCATCAGCCTAGCTTTTGTCTGAATTAACTTGTAGGAGTGCAGAGGAAGTATGAAGAGGAGGATCTTGGTTAAAATAGCACAGACAGTTGCCGTTCGTGTTGAATTTTAGTAGATTTTCTTCATTGGGTGTTTCTTCATTTGATAGAAGTATATGGCACAATCCCATGGGACTATTTCTAGAAACTTTTTTTGTTTTTTGGTGTTTTTAGGGGGTTTTTTGAGACAGGGTCTCACTATGTAATGCAGGCTGGCTTTTAGGCCTTGAACTCGCTCATGTAACCCAGGCTGGCCTTGAACTGATGGTGATCCTCCTGCCTCAGGCTCCCAAGTACTGGGATTATAGGCGTGTGCCACCATGCCTGGCTCCAAAGACTTAAATGGTTGGCTTTTTGTAATTTTCTCCAGTTTTACTGAGAAGCAGATTTGTGAGAATTTCTCACATTGCTGTTAGTATAATAAACCTAAAGATTTATGCTTTTTAGAACAGAAAAATTATAGCAAATATAATTATATTTATACGCACACATACAGTAGACAGAGTTTTTTAAAACTTATTTACATGTCTTTATCCTTAATTCATGTATAAAAATAGTACTAGTTGACGAGACATCTTTTAGACAAAGGTGGAATGAGGACCAGAGTAAAACATTGTTCTTTTTCTTTCTTTCGTTTGTTTAAATTGGTAGTGAAACTAATTTTTCCACTTAGCTACTTGCATTTGTCCACTAAAATGTGCAGTACATTTTTTATTAATTTTGGAATCTAGGTCAGGATACCAATCCAAAGATTTTTGTGGCTAGTGGAGTTTGCCAGATACGGAGAAAGAGTACACATGATGAAGAAAATAATTTGAATTAGATCATTTTTTTTTTTTACATTCTACAAATTCATTATCAAAAACATGTGTTAACTTGGTAATTTCAGTTTATAGCAAGAAATCAGCCACATTTTAAAAGGAATAAAGTTAGGAAAAAGAAGGTTTGGTTCTAGGCTTAAGAAAAACTTAGGATATACAAACAAAAATTAATACTTTATAACTATTTTTGATTATGATAGAAAATCTTTCGTTTCATCTTTATAGGGTGAGAAAACTGCTATAACCTTGGGAAATTACTTTCATAGCTACCTTTCACTTACTGTTACAATTACGAATTCTTTTAACTGTGTTTCTATAATAATACCTGAGGATAATTCTGTAATGTTTTAAGTGGTGTAGATAGCTCTATGAAGACAGATAACCATGTATGATGTTTTATACTCACTTCTATGGTTTTATAGGTGAAAAATACTAAATATACTAAAAATTACAGAATCAGAACTAAATCCAACAGTAACTAATGGAGTAAGATTGCTCTTAAGTCTTTAATAGGTTACTTCCAGAAAGTGTATGTCCTTTAACTCTTTGAAAGGAATTCATTTTTCCAATTAGAGAATGTACTTTACTCAGGATTTTTCTCTCTCTGGAAAGATAATATGACAGTTTAAAATTTATTTCATAGCCAGGAGAGGTGGCACATGCCTATAATCGCAGCACTTGGGAGGTTGAGACAGGAGTATCGCCGTGTGTTCAAGGATAATCTGGGCTACATAGTGAGTTCAGGCCAGTCTCATAGCAAGACCCTGTCTCCAAACAACCAAAAAAAGTTTTTTTATTTCATAATGACTAGGCTGTATATGTACAGTCTTCAGATACTAGTCATCCCGATCAAAAATACTACCCATCTTTTTTTTTTTTTTTTTAACATTTATTTATTATTATTTTTTTAAATGTATGTGGTGCTGGGGATCGAACTCAGAACCTTGTGCATGCAAGGCAAGAGCTCTACCACTGAGCCACATCCCCAGCCCCCAATACTACCCATCTTCATGTCCAAACCAAACTGAAACTTTTAAAAATTACTTGATGTTGAAAAAGTTTATGTTGAATAAAAGCTAATTTTGCTTTTAGATTGGAAAATGGAGCTTATGCTTTTGTTAAGGAAATTTGAACTGACATAAAATAATCTACTTGTGGTTAGTACAGTATATTGCTTTGGTATAGAAACGCTTTAGTTTGCACACAGTTTGGTTCACAAACAGAAGCGTTTGACAAAATTTTGTTTTTGTTTGCAAATTTGGCATCAGGTTTCAAACATAACTGTAGCCATCTTTCTTACACAAGCACAAATGTGGCCGTCCTTTCCAAAATCATAGAACAAATGAAGTTCATGAACCAAGGTGCCACTGTGTTTAGAAACACATTTTACTTTTGTTAAAAATGTGTAGTTTTTTGCAGAAATATAGATATGGGTTGTTGTTTAGTGACAAATTAATGTCCTGGGTGGCAGCCTACTAACCAGATCCTTGTTTTCCCTCTTTTCTCTATCCATTTTGTACAAAAGAGGGCATTCAAATGTTTTATTAAAAAGTAGCAAGAAATTCTGTACTGAAACAAAAGTTTGTTATTGTTTGAAGTAAGGTCTTCTCTAACATAAATTACCATAGTACGGAAGGGTTTGATTAGTCCTGAGATCTTGAGAATCATGTTATTAAAGAAATAAAAATCTTAATAAAATGGTATAAAGTCACAAAATACCAGTATACTAAGCTATAAAATAGTCTGTTTTGCATATTATTTCATTAGGCTGATTTGGAGATATATTCATTTTCTAACATTGACAGTTTCTTCTAGTTTCTTTTTCTAATACCGGATAATAGGATAAACTATACATTAGAAATTTAAAAGTGGCATTTTAGGTTACAGTGAATAGTGGTCATACTATTAAATTATATTTCATTAATGTTGAGTTGTTGCTATGTATTCTTATGTTGAAGTACAGAGAAATCAACCTTTATTTTATTATAAAAGCATCTATTGTACAATATGTGCTAGGCTAAATGCTATGAAAATAGGTCCTATACACATGGAACATAAAATCTGTGGGCCAGTGTTAAAAAATTAATGAACTTCCTTTGTCTTGTTATTTCAGCCTAATTCTGGTGAACTGGATCCTTTGTATGTTGTAGAAGTGCTTTTACGCTGTAGCAAAGAGAGCTTGAAAAACTCAGCTACAGAGGCTGCAAAGCCAGCTAAGCCTGATGAAAAAGGAGAGATGCAGGTATGTACTTCTCATTTTTTAGATTTTCAGGTATTTTGTCATTTCTCATTACTAGAGGTTTATTGGATGATTGTACTGAGCATATTGTCATAATTTTTAAATGAGATGTTTTAAGGCATTTTGACATATCAGCATCATTTGAAGTATCAAAATTTGGGATTTTAGTTTTATCTTTTATCAAATTATAACCAAGTAAATAATGCAAAGTAAAAGATAATTTAAAATTTAAATATCACATGAAGTTAGATTTTACCATTTAACATGAAGATTTTACATTGTTATTTGTGACTGGGATATTATAGTTTTAATCCATCCATGCTATTTATCTCTTACTCTCATGGAAGTACATAATGATTAAAGCACTGTTTTGGTAATGCAATATTCTTACCAACTTTTTCTTAATTATTTTATTTATATATTTTGTTTGTTTTTGAGACAGTCTCGCTGTATAGTTCAGGCTGACCTAGACTCACTATGTAGCCCAGGCTTTCCTCGAATTTGCAGCAGTCCTCCTGCCTCAGCCTCCCAAGTGCTTAGATTACAGGCTTGTGCCACCACCACCAGCTATATGTGCTTTTAATTAAGTGTAAAACATTTGGCTTGTCACATGAAATACTCATATTTCTTGAATGTTTTCTATTTTTATATTAGTATAAATGAAAGGATTTTTGGTAAAATTTTCTTGCACACTTTCTAAGTATTTGACTTGATCTGTTTAATCATAGTAGAATTTTATTTTTAAAACATTACTTTATGTGGTGTATTGACAGAGTCTTAAATTATATTTGTCATAATAAGCTTGGTTTCTAGAAAATAAACATTTACTACTGTAAATCCATTAACTGCTTCTTTGGATCAGTAAATCATGAGAGTTGGAGTTGACAGTATTTGAAAAGACAATTTATATTGTACCTTTTTTTTTTTTTTTCGGTCTTTTTGAGGGATGGTTTCACTGTGAAGTTCAGGCTGGCCTCGAACCCACAGCAGATCCTCCTGCCTCAGCCTCCTGAGTGCAGAGTACAGGCATGGGCCACCATGCCCGGCTTACATTATACATTTTAAATGATGATTTAAAAGTTATTTGTAATTCTGGATACTATCTAGCTTTTCATCTTTGTTTTTCAGTCTTTAGAATTCCACCACTGAAACTTTTATGATTTTTTTTTTCCCTAACATTTATTTTACCTATTAACCACTTAACTGTAGAAGAGCTAAAATCTTCCATGATTTGGCACATACTCATTGTTCCCAAAGGAACCTTAGAAGTTACTGGAACTGGGTGTAGCAAACATGTGGCACTAATGCGAGTAGCCTCCTCTTCCCATGGCAGATATTGATAATAAGTCATGACATTCTCACACAGAAAGGGTAGGCTTTGCCGAGAATGTGATCCAGGCAGCCATGGTGAAGTCATTGGAGTTAGCATTTGAGGTGAGACATATTTGCTATATTTCTTTATTCTAGATCCAAGTTTTATTAAGCCTACCTGCTGTGCTTCTTTTACTTTATGATACTAGAAGCTTTGCAGTATTTAATAATCACAATTTAGTTCATTTCAATAAACAACCTTTCCAGGAAGTATTCACTGACCCCTGGCAAAATGAGTGTCATTTCTCTGCTCCGATAGCATTTTTACAAATTTTAGTGTATACAGTTAAAGAAATGAACTAGGGGTGTGCGAAAAACGTGTTAGCATGGTTAAATGAATTTCATATATAATTTATGACTGGGGGATTGAAGCTTAATGGGAAGTTATTTTGTGTTTCTTCAAAGACCTAGGTGAATATAAGAGATGTATTTTCCAGCTCCCTGAGTCAGGGAATTAATTAGTGGAGCCTTTAGAAATGAAGTACCATAACTTTTTCAGATAAGAATTATATTCTCAGCAAAGGAAGCAACATGTGCTGAGCATGAAACTATAAAAGAACTCAGAGTTGTTCTGTTTTTTTTTTGTCTGACAGAATAAAACAGAGGAGCACTATGTCTCCCAAAACAAATTGTGTATTATTTCGTTTGGTTTTTATAGATGATACCTTGAATAGGAATCCTAGACATAGAGAAATAGTTCCATAACAATTTATAAGCAAGCTTGAGCTCTCAACTGCAGTGATTGAGTAGCACCATTCAGGGTCGGTTAGACTTTATTATATAAGAGGTGAAAGTGGGGCATCCATAATCGTTTTCCCCCTTTCTTCGAGTGTATGTGATGCCAAATGTGGCTTCATCTCATCATTTGTCCAAGACTACTTAATAAAATGAGTTTGCCTTTTATCTGTGACATAAACACAACTTAAACTTACTTTTTCCAGAAAATGTTTAGTGAGAGAGGAGAGAGGGCAAGAGCACATGCATGCGCAAGCCAGCTCTGGAGTGCATTGATTAGCAGAAGTGAACAGTTGTAGTGTACTCCAAATATCACTTGTAGTTCTGTCACTGTTACTCTGCCAGCTTCAGATATATCTGACCACTGCTTTCTTACAGCCACCTGTTACACTTAAATGAGACACAAACAGGAAAGTTCTAGTTGCAGGGTCTAGATGAGTGGTTTCTGTCATTCATCTAGGTAAGAAACTCACCAGAACCACTCAGCAATGATAAAATTGTTCAAAAGAACATGAACTATACCAGATCTTAGCTGTATACTTAGGCTATGTGGCAACTGTTTGAGTATTGAGAAACACCAGTAGTTACGGTGGAATGAGATGTAGCAATCTGGGCACTTTTGAAGTATGCAGAAGGGCATACAGTAGTATACTTTTAAAATTTTATTTCTTTGAAGAAAGTCTTGTTGTGTTGCCTATACTAGGACCCCAGACTTGTAGGCTTGGGCTCAAGTGACCCTTCTACCTGTTCCCTGGGCAGCTGGGACTAGAGGGACACATCACCGCGCCCAGCTCTTTAATACAAGTTGAAATCAGAATTTTAAATAAACTTTAATGATGTTTTAAATAGCCGATTTGGGGATGAGGATGTAGCTCGGTGATAAAGCACTTGCCCAGCATACATGTGCTCTGGTTTCAACCCCCTGCACCAACCAGGAAGAATTTCAAAAATGGATTTAACCTCTGTCAGTTAACTCTTAATGTGTCTGTCTCCTCAGGGACATCTGTTAACTGCTGAGTTTCTCATGGTATGGGTCACACTTTTTTAATGTGTCTCATGGTTTTTTGAGATAGTTGAAACCTGGATATTTGAAATGATAGGATGTAGCAACTCAGGAAATCAGATTTCCCCCCACTTCCTGAGTTTATTTTTGTTCCTATTTGTTGTAGCTGTTTATTTAGTGAACTTTCTGAACTATTTCTGTTAAATCTTATATATTCACAGAGGTCTCTGCTTGGTTAGTTGAGTGGCTAGTAATTGCACAAAGACTTCTTTAGATGCCTGCCACCATTAAATTCCCAGTCTTTGATTAGGGACTTACCATTTAGCAAGGCAGTTAGCATTACCTTACCTCCCTAGGCACAGTCTGTATTCAGACATGGGTGAGGCCCTAAGGTCTTGCAGGGGTTTTTGGCATACACACAGCCCTTTATGTGCATATTGCCATCTCGATTGGCATGAACAAATGAGAGCTTTTCATATTCCTGAATAAATGCTCCTTCCTTTGGTTAATTTCCAGAATTCTGAAGAAGTTGGTTTGATGATTTTGTCAGTATTGTTAGTGTTTTTATCAAGAAGAGGATTGTTGGAGATCATTCTCCAGCATTTTGATTGGCATTTTCCTGAAAAAGTTTAGAAAAAACAGTATGTATAATTACACTATTCAGTACTAATACGTAGATTTTTACATTAGCTGCTTTTTGATTAGGTCAAGAGATTCATAGATTTTTTTTTTTTAATTCTAAAACTTAATCAGTAATGCATTGGTTTTGTCTTCTTTATAAAAGTCAGTTTATGAAAAAAATTATTTGAAGCTTTAAAAGCCAGTTTGTATTTAAGCTAATAGTCATGGTTTGAAGAAACTATATTCCTTAAAATTCATTTAGAATATACTGACTTAAAATTTATACTGAGTTACATTTTCTATCTAACGTTTGCTTGTTTAGGGGGAAAATTGGTGGCAAACTTTGAAAAGCCTATAAGGTCTAAGGACAGAAATACTTCCTGTTAGTTTTAGCAAGATTCCAATAATTTCCACATGGTTATTCAGATTTATGTAGATCAGTGGTTTATATCACGATAAACCTTAATTCTAGTTACTATCTAAGGTAGTTAGGCTTAGAAAGTTGAATAAACTGCCATATGCAAATATTACTATATGTTTTAAAATCTCCATGAGTTGAACTCACTGTGTAGCCCAGGCTAGCCTTAAACACACAGCAGATCTCCTGCCTCAGCCCTCAAGTACTGCAGTTACAGACATGCTACCTGGTATATTATTGATAATTTTTCATGTCCTCTGTCTTTTCTTTCCAGGTAGACAGTACATCTAAGACTTGAATAATCACGGACTGATGTTTCAGAACCCACTTATATTAGCTTTCCCATCTCTGGGACAAAATAGCTGACACCCCCCATTTAAATGAGGAAAAGATTTTTGGGGATTCATAGTTGCAGAGGTTTCAGTCTGTGGTTGGCTGGCCCTGAGGCAAAAACTTCATGGCAGAAGGGTATAGCAGAGGAAAGCTGCTCAAATCGTGCCATCCAGGACACAAAGCACAGAGAAAAATGCCAGAGAGGAAAGGCCTAGGGACCAGATGCAGCCCCCGAGCTCCTGCTGCCATGACCCACTCCCTCCAGCGAGACCTCACTTCCTAATAGCCCGTTCAGCTATGAGTTCCTCAGTGGGTGAACCCATTGCTGAGTTTGGTGCCCTCACAGTCCAGTCATCTGTCCAGGAGAATCTTAATCTTGTCAAATCTACAGTGAAGACTAACCAGCACATCATGACAGCTCACAGAAGGTCCTCTTTAAAAATGAATTAGATAGTTTTGGAATTCAGTTGATAGTAAAGAATCATAACCATATGCAAATAAAACAGTACTGAGAGAAAGTGATGCAATGTAGTAACAAACAGCAACATTAGAAAGTCAACATTGGGCACTACCACACATATAGTTGACTTGGGAAAAAGTCATCCATGGATGGTGAAATTTTAATGAGGGGTAGGATATTTACGAAGTCTATAATGAATCTAATTATAAAGGGGGAGATAGTAACGGTAGTAAAAACCCTAGCAGATACCACTTTGATCAAGGGATTAAAGTTAATATTATCCATAATGTTGACCAGAGGACTGAAAAAAATAGAACTCATTAAATTGCTCTGGTGGTATTTGAATTTGCAATCTTCCTGCCTCAGCCTCCTAAAGTTCTGGGATTATAAGTGTGTGATATAATGCCCAGTTTAAAAGATACATGATCTTAAAAAAGAAATGTATCTATTGGTAAAATGAAGTGACATGTTACTGCAACTTAATAATTAAAGAAGGAAGAGAAGGAAAAAAGAAGGCAAGAAGCATGCATGCATGTCCCAGAAGATAATTAGGGAAAAAGAAAAGGCACAAAAACTACTAATTTGGCAAACTATTAAAAGTTTGAAAAATGTAGTTGAGAAAATGGAATGAGTAGTTCATAGTTCATTCAGTTGCTTTCAAATAGAAAATTGATCATGGTGCTGTGCTAGGGGGGAAAAAACATAATTTTTTAAAGGCTGAAAAATATGTTGTCAGATTTTAAAGTTGGAACTATAACTGGATTTCTGGCTTTAAAATTAAAAGAAAGACCTAGAAACATTACATCTGTATTGCTACCTATTATAGTAATTGTCCTCTTTAAACAGTGAACTCTATCTACTTTTTTAGTCTCTTTTCACTTATTAACGTGGAACAGATACTGTCTACCTTTTTTCATTAACGTGAGTATGTGACCTCTGCTGGACTTCTATTTTGGTTACTTTTTTCTTCTTGCTGAGACAAAATACCTGATACCCAGAATTAAAGAAGGAAAGGTTTATTTAGCTCACAGTTTCTGGAGGTCTCAGTCTATAATAAGCTGGCTTCAAGTCAGGGTGGCACATGGCAGAGGGCAACAGTTCATGGTGGCAGAAAACAGCCAAAGCAACAAGAGCAAAAGGGAGGAGTAGAGGAAAGAGCAAGCCTCTTTCCCTCCCTTACATTGTATGCAAACTACTCGCCCCAGGGTGGGGTAGCACTCATACCTATAGTTCCAGTACTGGACCATGAATCAGTCATAAACTCTAGAAGCTGCTCCATGACTGCATGAAGCTTTGGAGGGACATCCAGACACAAACCATAACAACATCTGTTACACTAAATAATTTTTTTAAATGAACATGTTAAGTGTTTTATATAGACTCTTATTTTATACTCAGTAGTTCAGTGAAGTAGATGTCATTTTATCCCTATTTTTATGAAATGAGAAGCTAAAACTTAGGAAGGTTAGGTAACTTATCCAAGGCCACACAACTGGCTGACGATTGAATTTAAACCCAGGTAACCTTGTCTCTAAAACCTTTCTTCAACCATTTTATCATTTCTTCAATAAAACACTTACAGTGAGCAGTGAGAATTGTTTTTTCATTGGGGATGAGTGTAAAAGTAGCTGTGGAAGACCACTATGCTGAGGGGCCCTAGGTTCAGTTCCTAGTATGGTAGAAATTTAGGGTGATAGTCTTTCCAAAAAGTTCCAAGTAATGAGAACAGAAAAATTAATAAACTATGGATTATGTATTGAAAAGATTCTGTGTTTTCATGTACATTTATTGGCCTGTGAAAGATTTGAAATAGTTTTTCCTCTTTAAATACAATCTGTACTAAGATAAAAGCTCCAGAGGTGGGTAGCTGTGCCACAATGATTATTAGTTAACAATGTGACATACAAGCTGCCTTTGGTGGATTCAGGTTAGGAAATGGTGGAATTTGAAAATGTGTAATTTTAATTGTACTGTTTTACCCCTTTTTGTTCATAGGTTGTCCCAGTTTTGGTGCATCTCTTATCTGCTATCAGTAGTGTTAGACTTTACATTCCTAAAGACCTTCGGCCTGTGGACAATAGACAGAGCGTTTTAAAATCAATACAGGTATGCATGTTTTATAAGTTAAATATAAATTTTATATAGAGTTTTTGAAAAGGCAATTAAAATGCCTCAAAATATATTGCCTTCAGGAAAAGTACAAACACTACTAATATGTGGCATTTATTTCCATAGAAGTAGTTATAACCGGCCTACATGTAAGTTTTTCCTCTGAATCTATCAGCAAGGTACATTACTAAAGGAGAACTCACTAGAAACAAACCAAAAAAAATGCTTCATCATTAATCTTAACTGTTATATGCTAACAATGATTTGCTTTATTCATTAGTGAAAATAGTTATATTTTACTATACTAGTGAAATAATGTAAACAATAATGTGCTAGGTCTTTTAGCCATTTTTGAGTATGATTAATGGATGAAATAGTTTTATTTTCAGTAGGAATAATTTCTTGCTCAGAAATTTAATTCTCCACTAGAAAAAAGTAACAAAATTATTTGGTCAATAAACATTTAAATAGTATTAAAGGAACTTTTTTTAGTTTGATCAACAAACATTCATTTGTCTTAAACATTACTGTTAAATCCCCAGATTTCAACAAAGATATTTCAACTTTAACATTAATTTTAGCAATAATTTCACTAATTCTCAGTTTGGTCTCATTGTCTAAATAAAGTTAGACTGTTGTTTTTCTTGATCATTCATAGACATGTATATATGAGGAAACCAGAGGAAGGAAAATAAGAGAAATGAGCCTGTTAAAAGGCTTCTTCCTTCATTTAATAACTACATATTTCTTTCTTGCTACTTAATTATATATGCTTAAACTTTAAATCTAAAATTTTAGTGTTTTCTTCGTCCTTAAACTTCATGCCTATGGTTCTGTTTACTTGATTTATAGATTGTGATTTTGTACTGACACCTCCTTAAATGGGTTAAATATCTGGAAATATTATGCTTACCTAACAGTCATGTTCTTGAAACAGCTTGCATCATTGGTTTATTTACTACAGCAGTGTTTGTGCTATTGAACCACTAACATTTGTGCTTTTTACTATTATATGTGTTTTATTTCCTTTTGTTTTTGAAACAGTCTTATTATGTTGCCCACGCCAGTCTGAAAGAAAAGATGCCTGGGCTGAAGTGATCTTCATGCCTCAGCCTTCCAAGAGGCTGGGACTATAAGGGCATTACACCCTTCCCCTCAATTTTGGAATCAAACCCAGGGCCTGGCACATGCTAGGCAGTTGCTCATTGGCCAGATTCTTTCTGACCTTTGAGGCCTACTCAGGACCCTAAAATTCTCCCAGTAGGTTACCAGCCTATAGTGAGCTATCCCTTCTCTGAACTCAAGCTTGTCATATTTAATAGTGTAACAAAGAAGCTAGCAAAAGGGATCAGGACCCTTTAAATGTTTGTATTTTACAACTCAGTAGGACCTTTACTAGGAATAAACTCTAAAGAAATAACTCACAAATAACTTCTACAAATGAAACAGTAAATGTGAGATTATTTATGATGGTAAGAAGTTATGACCACCTGTGTACACTAACAGATTTATCAGTAAGTTTTGCTACATCCAAAATTCTTGTTTGTTTGTTTGTTTGTTTTTTTCTCTGGTACAGGGAACCGAACTCACGACCTTGCGCTTGCCAGGCAGGCGCTTTGCCGCTGAGCTAAATCCCCAGCCCCTACATCCAAAATTCTTAAACTGTGCAATACTGGTTTTATTAGTGAGTTGTAATATATGCCTATATTAGAAAACGATAACATAGCTATGCATTTTTGAAAATATCTTCCAGTTTAACTGGAAAAAATGTCACATCCTTTTTATGTCCATGTACATAGAAAAATATATAAAAAGAAATACTGATTAAAGTTAGTCTTAATTTTGTCTAGAAGAGAAAATTTGAATTTTACATATTTTATTTCAGGAAGTTCAGAAACGCTTTCCTGATGGTGTTCCCCTGTTAGATCCAATTGATGATATGGGCATTCAAGATCAAGGGCTGAAAAAAGTCATTCAGAAAGTAGAGGCTTTTGAGCACCGAATGTATTCCCATCCACTTCATAATGATCCAAACTTGGAAACTGTGTACACACTTTGTGAAAAAAAAGCACAGGTATGGCAGACATTTTGTTTTTATAGTGCAGTTTTACATACATTTCACTAAATATGCATCTCCTTTGTCTAGTTTACAGTTACCCAGCTCACTTCTGTCCTAGCCCTTCCTCCTTACAGTTTCACACTTAAGCTATGCTGTGTTCCTACTTTAGGCTTTTTACAGTTTTCAGTGTCCTCTTTCTCTGCTTCTTTTTCAAGTGGACATTTTATGTTTTCCCTGTACTTAGTGTTTTAGCTAATATTTAGTAACCTTTCAGGGGCGTCATTGCTCTCATGGGAGTGCATTTAAGAAGCTCACACACTACATCCACCCTTCCCCACTATGTTAAAGCTTTAACAGAAAAGTATATTATAAGGTGGCCTTACAAGTTATTTTTTTTGCTCTTTCTTGGGTGAAGCTCCTTTTATAGTGTTTACTTTATTATTGAACTTCCTTCACTTTTATGTATCTTAGATTGCAATAGATATTAAGTCTGCAAAGCGAGAATTGAAGAAAGCAAGAACTGTTTTACAGATGGATGAGCTTAAATGTCGCAAACGTGTTTTAAGAAGGTTGGGATTTGCTACTTCTTCTGATGTCATAGAGATGAAGGGACGAGTAGCTTGTGAGATAAGCAGGTAAAATCTGGTTGTTCTTCTAAATAAAAGATGTTAATCTTTTGGGAAAAAAGCTGTTTTATAATACTTTCTGCATTAAATACAGTTTTGGATCATGAAATTGAGAAATTAGAAAAATCTTAGATCTCGGTAATCAATGTAAAATCTCTGGCCTTATGACGTATTTCCTTTGAAACCCAATTTTATATGCTTTCTTTATATTTATGAACATTTTATGCTTTGAAACTTAGTCCAGTAACCATTCTCTTTTTATATATGTAACAGATTGTACTGGTTTTGAGCTAACCACAAGGTATTACAACAGAGCTTAACCCAGGTTAATGTTGGATATAATAGACAGTTGGCTTTCCATTTTTCCCAGGTTCTGCATCCACATATTCAAATAACTGTGGATAGAACTATTTGGAAAAAATAATTGCACATATACAGGTCTTTTTCTGCTGGTCTTATTTTCTAAACAATACAGTGTAACAATTGTTTACATGGCATTTACACTGCATTAGGTTTTGTAAGCAATGTAGAAATGACTTAAAAGTATATGAGTGGATTTGGTGTAGGTAATATGCAAGTAACACATCATTCCATATGAAGGACTTGTACGTCCTTGAGTTTTGGTATCCTCAGGAGTATGCTAGGACCACTCCCTTGTAAATTCGTAGGTACAGGTATATTTTTGGTCTGGGTAATTTTTACAAATGACTTCAAAACTACATGATATAAAACGGCAGTTCTTTATTCTTTTATGGTTTTGCCCTGTCAGAAATTCAGGAAGTGCTTGGTTTGATGGTCCTGGCTCAGCATCCCTTACGCTTACCATCTAGACAAACTGTTAAGTGAGCAGTAGGAGTCTGGAGCAGCTGGGAATGTTAGTATAGGTGGATCCCTCTCTCTTCCCCCTTCTTTCTCATCTCCTCTCCCTTGTCCTGTTCTTTTTCTTTGTGGTCTAGTTTGGATGTCTTCACAGTCTGGCAACCTCAGAGTGTTAGCACTTCCTACGTGGAGACTTAAGGCTTACACATGAGTGCTAGCAGTCTAAGGTGGAGCTTGCATTCTTTCTCCTGACCTTGCTTTACCTGTTGTAACCTAGCTTAGACATCATAAAGCATCACTTCTCCCATGTTCTCTTAATTACAGAGAAGTCACAAACCCTCCCAGGTTCAAGTGAAGGACAGTTAGACTCTACTTCTTGATGGTAGCATCGGTACTTTTCTCTATATCTGCAGTGTTCTGTGTAGTAGCCATTAGCTGCATGTGGTTAATTAGCACATGAAATGTAGTTAGACTAGGGAACTAAATTTTAAATTTTATCATTTTAATTGAAATTGTTGCATGTGCAAACAGCAGTCTTTGTATACCAGTGCTGGAATAGGAGATACTATTGTGGACATTTTCAGAAAATACGGTTTACAGCGCCATCCTAAAAATCCATCAGCTGGTGGGTGTGGTGGCACATACCTGTAATCCTAGCACTTGGGAAGCTGAGGTAGGAGAATCGCTGTGAGTTTGAGGGCAGCCTGGGCTACATAAGCAAGTTCAAGGCACTACATAGGGAGACCCTGTCTCAAAAAAACAGACAAAATCCACCAGTTATTTTCCACCATGAGGGATCCTTCCTTCCATAGAAGACGGCTTGCCTCTATTTTCCTTAACTTGAAAGTTATAAGATGGTGGTCATAGGCAAGTATCTGAACATTTACTTTGTTTTGTTCATACAGAGATGGCCATAAAAGCTGTTTTTGAAACAGTTGTGGTTTTTTAATGTCATCATGCTGCCCCTACTAGACAGGGCCAGAGAATTATAGGTTTTGTAAATGGTTTTGCACAGTCTTGGTGGGGAGTTATTCATAATCTTCATCTGTCTCAGGTGTTAAAAATTCAGATGTCCATAGGGGCCAAAAGGAGACTAAACTAGGACAGTTTTTGGCCTCAAAAACAGGCAGTGACTTATCCAGCACCATTTAATTGTTAGTACAGGTTAATGCAATACCCCATTTTCCAGTTGAGAGTTCCTTGGGCCCTGTAAATACATGTTGATGACTTTTTTCATGGCATATTGAAAGTTAAGAATTATTTGAATGAATATGTACATTTTCAGTATTGGGGATCTTATATGAGATGCCCAGATTACATATACTGTTATTACATACTGGCAATACAAAGGTCTGCTGTTTCCTTTAATAAATCTTTGTCATTTTTCATTGATTACTTCTTATGGTAACAGCATACATTTTTTTAAAACTACATGCTGAACATATGTATATGTACATATGTTTCTTTATATTCTGACATTTAAATTTTATTTTTTTTCTGATAGTGCTGATGAGCTCCTTCTAACTGAGATGATGTTTAATGGCCTTTTCAATGACCTTTCTGCAGAGCAAGCAACAGCATTGTTAAGTTGCTTTGTGTTTCAAGAGAATGTAAGTGAATAGTTTTAGCATATCTTACTTACTAATTCATATATCATATAGTTGGTTAAATAATATAATGGGTATATCTTAATTATAAGCCTATTGCTTTATGCTTATACACTGTGGATAGTAGTAACAAATCCAAGAATTTTAACACAAATATAGTAGAAAATTGAATAATTAGATGTATACTTTTATTTTTAAAAGAGAATAAATTAATATTTTTGTGGACAGTCATCATTAACAGATTCCAGGTTTTCCGGTTGTTCTTTGAGCAAATGTATTATTTGAAAGACTGGCCTGGCCAGACAGTCCTAGAGTGAAAAGGATATCTGAAAATTAAATTAGGAAAAGCCAATAAAAATGAAGAGGGATAATGAGATTGAATGGAATATACACTTTTATTAGGGATAACTATGGAACAACTATTAGAGCCTAAGTGGTAGGTGTCATGGACAAGATGCAAGGCCCTGAGGGTAAGATTTTTATGCGTGTACCAATAATTTCCCCGCTAGAGGGGAGAGCATTGGTGAAGTTACGCTTGTTCTCCTCATATTGGGACCAGTGTCTTGTACCTGTAGTGGCCAGAGAAAGGAAAGTGATCAGTTACTGTTGTCCATGAATGAACACAATATCAAAGACATTTAGCAGTCTTTATTTTTAACTGTAAAGTTAGATATTGAGCTCATTCTTGCCATTTTGCCTTTAAATCACTCATCAGTAAGCTTTGGTTTAAACAGAAATACTACAAAACCTGGTTAATGATTTATTACACAATATACTTCTAATCAAAAACAAATCCTGTGTAGCTTTTGATGCTTAAAGTATAGATGTGTGGCACCTTACACATAGTGGATTTAATATTTGTCTCTAAGTCCTATCCCGTACGTTATATACATACATATACACTATTCACTATTCTCGTAATTTTATCTTTATGTAGCCACCCTACCTTTGTCAAAATTTTTTCACAAATACTGTCATTCTCACAAGCCTATATCTAGCTTTATTTTGTGTATCTAGCTTTATTTCTCTTTAACAATGTAAGAACCCAGAACACAGAATTCAAGTAGCTTTTCCAAGTTTATTTAGCTACTTAGTGATGGACGTAAAACAATATTAAATTTTTTACTTTGTGTAAGCGAGAAATTGATGAACTTCATTAGTGGGAAAGCAATATTAAGAACACCAAAATTCAGATTAAAATGTCAGCTATTCTGTACTTAGCTAAAGAACCAGAAATATCTGGGAAAAATACAAATTGGGACATTATTTTTAATGTTGTTTATTCATCTCAACTTTTTGGTTTCTACAGAACGCTTTTCCCACACCTAAAACTATTTCAAAATTATTATGATAAATTACTTACACGTTCATGTAACTACACAGCCGTGTATAATGTTTACTGTCCATCAGTTCCATTTATAGTCATAAACAATACATAGCTCGTTGGCATGCTTTGCAGACTTAGCAGTGTCATTTTTATCCTTTGGAATATAATAATAGAAAATGAAAAACGTAAGAGGAATGATTTTGCTTATATAAACTTAAGAGTTGATTAGGTACCCAAAATGTTAGTAACTATAGTCATATAATATGATATTAATGGGTATTGTAAAAACTTTTTTTTATTTTAACAAGCAAGTAATATATACTTTACTTTAAATTGTGTTTTTATATCTAATTTTTCTTTTCTTTTGTAGTCTAGTGAGATGCCCAAATTAACAGAACAGTTAGCGGGACCACTTCGTCAGATGCAGGTGAAATAGTCCATTGTGAAGTAAATGTTTTTGAGAGTCTAATCTTAATACTTTATCATTCAACACAGACAACTGGAATAAATATATCATTTGATGTCACTCAGTATTTTATTAACATTTATATTTTCATTTTAGTAATTAAACATTCTCGTTGTAAAGAATTGTATAGAGTCTTTGTGAGTACAAATTTAAAATTGAATAATGCGTATAGGCTATACTACAATTCATTGATTGCATTATTTCCTTCCTCAGTATTAAAAATGGCATGTTAGCCAGGCATAGTGGCACACGCCTATAATCGCAGCACCTGGGAGGCTGAGATAGGATCACTGCGCCTCTGAGGACAGTCTGTTACATAGTGTGTTCAATGCCAGCCTGAACTGCATTGCAAGACGCTTCACCACTTCAGAACACCCCTTACCACCAAAAGTGGGTTGTTATGTTAGATGTAGTGACAGATTTCTAGTCCTGTCTACTCTGGACCATGAGGCTGAAGATCTCGTGAAGTTCAAGACCAGTCTGAGCAATTTACCAAGACCCTTAACATAAAAAGGCTTCACAGACTCCATTGTCAGTACTGCAAAACAAAGAGAAGGAGTAAATACTAGATTTATGTCAATTTTTCCATGTGGTGCCATTTTTAATACTGAGGGGAGAAAATAATACAAGCAGTGTATTGTCATTATAGCCTGTCCACATTAATCCAAGATTTAGGTAAATATGTTGCATATTTGTCCATTCTTTTTTACAATAAAATTTTAAAATGTTTTATCATGAGAAACCTCTAGGTCCTCAAAACCACAGTATCTTATAGAAATATATTTATTTCTTTTATTATTGCCTAGGATAAATTGATTTTATTGATGTCTTTCAGTATTAGAGAAACAGGAAAGCATGAGTTAAGGCATTACTAAAATATGAAAAACAAGATCGTATTTTTAAGTATTATTGGAGAACTACATATTTTGCCAAATGAATATTTTGCCATGCATTTATATTTTTTAAGTCTGTCTTATTATTGTCTTTGCTAAGTTAATGAAATAGACTAGTTCAGTGCTGCTCTTGAGTAATTTTAGTTAAGATTTCTGGGGTTTTTGTAGAAATCATGCTCTTGATACATTTTCTTAGCCACTTCGGCATGAGAAACTAACTGTTCAATTACTTAGCAGTATAGCAGGCACATAGGGAGAATATCCATCTAAGATTAAAAAGGAACTTTGTAAAATACTGATTTTGGAAACCTAAAGCAAAAAATGTCATGAGAGATCGTAAGTATAGAATTTTAACTATGTCTTTTATCTTTAAAGGAATGTGCTAAAAGAATTGCAAAAGTTTCAGCAGAAGCAAAATTGGAAATTGATGAGGAAACTTATCTAAGTTCATTCAAGCCTCACTTAATGGATGTGGTGTACACCTGGGCAATGGGAGCTACCTTTGCCCACATCTGCAAAATGACAGATGTCTTTGAAGGTATGGTTAAATTCATGTGCATACATTTCGTTCTGATATGAAAAATACATACATTGTTTTAACCAAACGTGGGTAATGTATTTAAAGCTTCTGGTGGCTACTGTGCTGTCTCCCAGTAGGCCACTGCCACACTGCAGTGTGCACTTTTTCCTCTTACCTGGCTCAGGCTTGCTCCGCAGAGTATATTTCTTTCCCTGTCTCTAAAAATGTAAAACTTCGCTTAAAAATTTTTTATAATAAAATGGGATCTTCCGCCTACTCTCTATAGATTTTTTGTACTACCTAATAAGCAGTCTGTTCATTATAGATTCTGTACATTTAGGAAAATACTTCAACAGGATATAATTCTGTGCCGGAGACTGCAATCACGGGTAAACAGAGAATCCTGGGAAGTCATGTTTGTGTGGATGTATTGCACCTTTTGTCCCCTTGGTTAGAACTTAATGATTTGCTCTGATTTTCACTAAAATTAGAGTAGAAAATGGTGAGTCATTCCGTATCTAATAACTAAGCCTCGCTCAGACTCTTACTACAACATAAAGCAGATTAAATGTAATCAGAAAAATTTTAAGAAACTGAAGAGTAATTGTTACCCAACTCGAGAGAATTTTAAGTGGAAAATGTAGAGAGAGTATATAAAGAATAATTACAAATGGATTATAAGAAGTTAAAAACTAAACAGTATTTACAGAAGATCATATTTAGGAATACTGCAATGTCAGGAAAACATTGGCTTATGTAGATGTTTTAATGGTGTTATGCTTACTCAATTAGGTATTTACGTTGAATTTTTTTAAAAATGAAAATAAATGAGCTTAGCTTTCATAGAAACCTAAGGATTCTTATCAAATTTTCTTTGGATTTTAGAAGTTCTTTCTTTTTACTTAAATGAAAAAGTTGTGATGTATGGAAGATTAGTCTTAAATGGAGACAGTTTGTAGTTCTACCCAGATAGCAGATAGCACTGTGAGTTAACCTTTTCTACAGCATACTAACATTCTTAGTCCAGTGTTTGAATTTTTCTGGGGTTATTTCTCATCTTTTTTTGTGTGTGTGGTGCTGGGAATTGAACCGAGGCCTCGTCCTTGCCAGGCAGGTGCTGTGTCCCTGAGCTACATTGTTGGCCCTGTGGGGTTCTTTCTGTATTACAGTTTACTTGAAATGTTTGAAAATTTGAGAAGTTCAGTTTTACATCTTGAAGATTGGTCTGATGGCACAGCTTTCACGTTTTTCCAATCCGGGTGCCATCATATTACCTAACCCTTTTCTTTTTAAAGTTAAGATACACAATATATTAGCTCTTAAAAATAGAACAAACCCCTAAGAATAGGATAGCTTTTCCTCTTTCCATCAGACTGTTCCTGGTTTTTTTGCCATGTTATTTAGTTCTTCCATTTAAGGATAGCCTTTGTTTCCTCATTTTGGTTTTGCTCATGCTTAATATGATTGGAAAAAATAAAGCTCTAGCCCAGAGCATAGTGTCTCTATATTTTTATAAGCAGAAAATTAAATTGCTTTGGAAATTTGTAATGTACTGTGTTCGTACCATAGTCATTCCTAGTAAGATACTGAATTTTAGTTTTAAAAGGTGCCTGATTGTTTCACACCCTAAGCTTCAAAAGTCATTTTACATATTCTTCCAACCTTAAGGAGGTTAGTTAACACTGTTGTGATTAAAGTCATGACATGGTTTTCTTTAAATACTGTTTATTTTTTACTTCTTACAAATCATTTTATGTTGGGAAAGTCTAATGGAAGAGAACCATTTATACTGGGATTTAGTTGGAGAATTTTAAAGACTATAAAAACCAGATAGGATGTAGTTGTTCCTTACATCAAAACAAATAAATTTGGCATTTAAAGAAAATACTGATATGGGCTGATTGCCTAGGGTTTCTACTAACTGATATAAGTAGATTGTGAACTAAACACCAGCTATTACTATTTATTTCTGAATATGCGTAAGTACTCATAAGGACTCATTCTGATTGGAACAGAGAAAGGAGTTGCTTTCCACTGAGCACTTGCCATCAGGAAAATTTCTGTGACAGGAATCTTTTGCAAATCTTTCTATACTTCTGCCTGCAGGTTTTTAAAACAAATGCTGTGAAGTGTGTTGCCTACCTGTTCCCACCACATGTTCTCTTGAATGCCTTTCGAAGGGCAGTTTTACCCCTCTTTGAACAGAGTACATCAGTGTTGCAAAGGACTTGACAGAGGATTTTTTAGAATTTTTTTTTTTTATCCTCTTTCTCTTGTGTTTGGTACTGGGAATTGAACTCATGACGTCAGGCTTATGCTGCTGAGCTACATCCCCAACCCTATAAAGAACTTTGTTTTTTGTTTTTTGTGGTTTTTTTGGTACTGAGAATCAAACTCAAGACCTTGCACTTGCCAGGCAGGTGCTTGTGCCACTAAGCTATATCCCCGGCCCTACAGAGGATTTTTGAAGTACTTTTGCTAATAATAATAATAATGTTTTATTAAAATGTATTGTTAGTGTTAAAATTTTGGCATAATCTTAATGCTAAGTGATTTAGTTATTAGTGCCTATTAGTCATTTGGTGAATAATTGTGAGACCCTAGTGAGAAGCACTGTGCCGGGTGCAGCGTAGACAGGATTCTCCCTCAAGAGTAGATTCAGCCTACGCTGGAATTTAGTGGTGAGTAGTTGGAGCAGGATACATTTACGATCATAACCTCAGGCCAAGCTAGTTAAGAGTATTAAATTGGGGCATGAATTATAGGTCACCACATCAGGTTGCCAGAAAGCTAAAATCAGAAATACCATCAAGAAATTCGCTGCTTTCTAGTTTTAATGAGAATGATACTGTTTTGTTCATGAACTAGGTAAACCTAATATTTATAAAAATGCCCTTAAATAAAAGCAAGTAGCCCCAACTGTGCATCACAGGAGAATAAAATATATCTTTTGGCTGTTAAAACAAATACCAGATCATAGTACATTCTGAGTGAATGTTAAACACACTGAGAAGCTAACTTAAGAAAGCAGACATAAAGCCCACATACTGTACGATTTCATTCAGATGAACTGTCCAGAACAGGCAGATCTGTAGCGAGAGAAAGCAGGTTATTGGTTGCCATGGACTGCTGGAAGAAGAGAATCAAGTGTTACTGCTTAAAGGGAACAGGGTTTGTTTGAAGGAAGTGAGCGTGTTATAAAATTAGATACTGATCACAGTTGTACAACGGAATATATTAAAATTGAATTTAACGGGTACATGCTATGATACATGAATAATAGTGCAAGTTCTTCCAGAATGATGATGTAATCCCAAATGTAAAAAAAGCGATGACTTTAAATTGTACACTTACGATGGTTAAAATGGTGAATCTTACGTTGTACTTTACCACTACTTGAAAAGCACAAAAATTAGATTGAGAAAGAATTTTATTTGTTGGCTCTATGGTGGAACCAGAAGAAAAGATTTGTAACAAACCAGCAGGTTAGTATGCTTCTATTTCTCATCAGCTTTAGATTGCCTGGAAATGAGTTACAGCTTTGAAGCTTTTGTCTCACATCTAAGTCTAACTGGTCTAATTGATGAGGCAAAATGATTTCCAGAGGTGGGAGTGAGGAAAGCCTTGGACTGCACAGAATAGTAATAGGTAGGAAAAATGCTAGATAATTTACTACTTAACAGTGGTCTGCATTAATCCTTGTGGGGACTAACCTGTAGGCTCTAGGCACCTGGAGGCAGTGTTTGCTTACAGAGTGATTTATTGATGAGCCTTGGGATAGCAATCAGACCCATTGTGTGTTTAATCCTGTACCTGGTAGCATTTTCCTAATAGTTTGCTTGTTATCTGAAACTGTCAGAGCTAAATTTTCCAGAAATTGAAGTATTTACAAAATATGACATGAGGGTAATCTCTAGCTGGGGTGTGCATTTAGTTGTTTTAATTTTATACTTTATCTAATAGTTTATTTCATATGGCATAATGTCTGTTGACAGTGGCAGATTCTGGTTAAAATGAGTTACTCTAATTTAGAGCAGTATTAAAGCAGTGTCAGCTTGTGTTTTCTGGTACACACTTGAAGTCAGTCAAAACAATGCAGGAGAGCCTGCTGGGTTCTTTGATACCCTGCATAGCAGAAAATTTTATAAAGGATTTCATTTCACTTATCATTTACCTGTGAATATATTCTGTTCCTTTTTTTAAAGTGCTATATATTTATTTGTTTTGGTTTTGTCTTTTTGAGACAGGGTCTTGCTATGCAGTTCAAGCTGGCCTTGAGCTTACTTTGTACTTTGTAGCCCAAGCTGATCTCAAACTCGCAATAATCCTCCTGCCTCGGCCTCCTGAGGGCTGGGATTACAGGAATGTGCCACCACACCCAGCTGAAGTGCTATATATTTCAGTTTAAGGCACTACTTTTCTTTTAAAACAGAACTATTTGTACAAACATTATTTTCTGGTTGCATACATAATACGATGTTAATGGCCTCTGTCCAACCTTCTACCCTCTGTCTAGATATCCAGAAGCTTCTGCGTCTGGATTTCCTTTTGTTACTACACATTATTTGAACAGGGTATTTTAGCATCTGAGAATGGAAGTAACAAGCATAGCCAGCATTTACTTAACCTTGGTGATGGTGTACTCAGGATCCTATGTACATTATTTCATTCAGATCACAATAACTCTGTGAAGTAAGGAACATTGTCTCTGTTTTAAAAATGAGTAAACTGAGGTTTTTCATAGGTTAATTAATGGAGATTTGAGGGGGAAAGGTTGATGCTTTACTGGCAAAAGAATTAGTAGCTAGAATAGCATTTTTTTAGTTTTTAAAGTTTTCATTTATCTAAAAGTGATACAACAGAAATCTGAGCCACATTCTAATGATTGAATTCTGTACATATCGCTGAGGTTGCACAAGTAATTACCCTAATATCGGAGATGATGCTTGGACCGTTCAGAACCATGTCATCATTGAAACAAACTCTCCAGAACCTCCTGGTGATACTTGAATGAGTTGTGTCAGCATATTCTTGAGCGGTTAGAGGAGCGGAGGAGCACAGGTTCCCCAGCTGCCGTCCTGTGTGAGGGCGCCCGTGGGAGGAGCGAGCAGCAGCAGCAGTCTTACCCCACCCAGAGGAAGAGGTGCAGTTGCTGTCAGTCTGTCAAGCTGTGAACGGGCTGCTGCCCTGATTCAGCAGTAGCTAGTGGCTAGCCTGGCTGTTCCCTGTTCCCAGGGAGCAGGCTGGTCATGTTACCCTTCCTTGTGAAACTAGGTTCGTGTGTTTGCTTTCAGTCCCATTTCTTCCTCTGTGTCTCATTCTTTCCAACTCTCAGGCTGTCTCTATTTCTGTCTTGTGTATCTCTCCACAGGCAACTGTTTTTCAGATGGCATTAAGACCTGCGTTATTTCCCCTTTAGGCTTTAACTGAGTATTCTTCACTGATCCTTATCTGTGTACTCTACAATTAATTTCCTCAGCTAACTTCACAGAAAACAAGTTTCATCAACTTCCACGAGGTTCTTACTCTCTAGTTGGAAAGGAAGCCATTGCTCTAAGGGCTAGCTGATATACTTTCTTTCTCCCACCATTTTGAGGGTAGAGGGGTCAGGAGTGGCTAGTAATACTGTCATAGCTACTTGAAAACTGTCTTTCGTGGAGGCACTTTTTACTGTTAAATGTTATTAGTAGAAGAAACAGTAAGCTTTTCTTTTTAAAAATCTGTTCTAATTTTTAAAAGCTCACAATAGTTTATTAGGGTTAATATGAGATACCTTTGAAAGTAGACTATAGGTCATGGGTGTCATATAGCCACTTCCTCCGTTTTTGGAGGCTTTCTGCATTGGATACAGCCACTTTGCCTAGAGAATGCTCCCCGAGTCCCTTCACATACTTCCCCTTTTTCTAGCCATGAAGTAGAGTTAGGAAGTAACTGGGATTCTCTTCTTCCTCATGCATCACCAGCCTGGAACACTCTGTAACTCACTGTTTCCATTTCTGTACTTATGCAGAAGTGTTCTTTTAGATAAAAATTCAGTTATATGTCTGGATATCACCAGGAGCCCTAGTATCTGATCTCAGAATTACATCAGACCTTCTCAGTAGCAGCACAGCAGTAATAGTAGTAGTAGTAGTACTAATAGTAGTAGTAGAAAATTACCAGTACTGAGCACTCACTGTGTGCCAGGCACTTTGTACATTATTACTTCAGTCTTTCCCATAGTTTGTTAGTATCATGATTATGGTCCCTTGGGTGGTAGAAGGCACAACTGAAATGCCCTTCCAGGTCCAAAGACTGTCCTTCATGCAAGACTTCCTTCTGGGATTCTTCTGCCACTTCCCTTAGGGCAATTCTAGATCCTCACTGTTCCCTTCAAGCACCTACCTGCAACTCCCCCAGCTCCCGGTTTGATCATTCTTTCACGTAGATAGAAGCTAGAAGCCTGTCTTGTTACAACTAGACACTTCACATGTGTGTATCCTTTTCCTCAGGGCCACCTTCCAGTTTTTTGTGACTCTCCTCAACCTTGAATCATATCCTTTCTGCTACTGCTTTAGCGTATAACTCTGTTTAAATTCCTCCTCCACACCCTTTCCAGCTGCTGGCATACCAGAGATTAGGAGTGCAAACCCTGAGCTTAAGTCCTACCCTCTGCCTAGATTAATGATCCTGGGCAAGTTTTATTTACATGTGCCTCGGTTATGGTGTCCATGTTTACATAAATGAATAGTCATTATCATTTTAATAGTTATATAATTTTGTAGTCTTCTGTTGCTGGACATGTGAGAACCCTTTGAACTTTTGCTATTACAGATTATAAAGAACTTCAGAATTTTATACATGTATCATGTTTGCTTTTGGTACAGAATTATTAAGAGGTATGCACATTTAAAAAAAAACTGAAACGCTGTCAGATTTCCGTTTACATTCTGCATTATGAGTTGGCCCTTTCAACTCTTTTTCCTCCCTTAGAATATAATGTGGAGGGCCTAACAGTGTAATGAGAGCGATTATAAGAACTTGATTATTCCAGTGTTGTAAGGAGGTAAAGGACTTAATGTTTGTATAGCACTATTTTGAGGACTGATCTTCCTAATGTAGTTGAGATATTAAGTGCAGAGTTCCAAAACAAATTTAGGTAGCTAGCATTTTGAGAAAGGATACTAGGTCCCTCCTTGCACAAATTTAACAAGTGAAGCTTTACAGCTTTAATTATGTTAGCTTTTATTTTCCCAGTACCAGGGTTCGAACTCACGACCTCATGCTTGCCAGGCAGGTGCTATGCTGCTGAGCTAAATCCCCAGCCCCACAGCTTTAATTATGATAGACACACTTGTCACACAAGATCCACAAGAAAAGGCTTAAGAGGTACTCCTATTTGGTACTTCCATGCAGACACACTACATGAAGAAAGTACCGATAAAACAATCTAAAATCAAGAAGAGTGAATGGTCACCCCTCTAAAAAGTCAGCCGATCCTGTTGTGTTCTCTCTGTAGGGTGATAGGCTTGGTGTCCAGATGCCAAGTAAGCCACACCCAGGGTCCTTGAATAGCTGCACTTTGTCAGCCTCTTCTGCCCTCAGTAGACTTCCCTTGTCACTGCCTGACAGAGACCTCTTCACGCTTACAGACCCGCACTATATGTTGTGTTTGCCAGCCTTCCCCAAAGCTGCTTCCTCCTCAAGGCATTTTGTTTACCTGCCTCTACAAGCAAGTCAGGATGTTGTTGTAAATCTGTGTCTCTATTATCAAAGGTTGGAGTTAAACCTTCCTTCTCTGTAGACTTTCTAGCGCCTAGCAGGCAACTAGTCAGGTTTGCTAGTTTATTTACTTTATGGAAAGCCCTTCGAAGTACTATCAGATGGGCTGGGAATATAGTTCAGTAGCACAGCACCTGCTTGGCAAGTGCAAGGTCCTGAGTTCAATTCTTGGTACCAAAAATGTCCTATCGGTTAAGCATCCCATGTTTTCTTGCCTTGCCTCTTAACATTTCTCCTTTTCCTATTCCTAACAATTTTAAAGTCATTTGTTCCTTTTTTCTCCAGGCAGCATCATTCGCTGTATGAGGCGCCTGGAAGAATTGCTTCGACAGATGTGTCAGGCTGCAAAAGCCATTGGAAACACTGAGCTGGAAAACAAATTTGCTGAAGGTCAGTATCTTATTCATAAGCTTTTTCTAGTTTAGGAAAATCTTCTGAGACTTGAGCCACTGATACAACTCAGGATACCAGAGGACTACCTAGTGGTGTTTCTATAAAATTTTAGAGGGTCTATTGGGAAAAAGTTTTGGGATTTATATATATGTATGCTCATTTTTCAGGTATTTATTATACACTATCTGCCAGGCATTGGTTAAGCACTAGGGCAGTGTTGGCGAACCTATGGCACTCTGCCACACCCTGCTGATTATCATCACTGAGAGCTCTGGAAGGTTCACTATCAGTATACTAGGGGATATAGCAACAAAAAGAAATCCTTGCCTTCATAGAGCTTGCATTCTAGGATGGGAGAGACAGTATACAAGTCAACAATTAATATATACCAGATATATATGAGTGGACCACCAACCAGGGTGGATGAGCAGTTTCCAGGAAGACAGCGAACTGGGGGATAGATGAGGTGGTCCAGGGACCTCCAGGCAGATGACATTCAAAGCCCTTTAGATTTGGTTGGTATACGGAGCAACAAGAGGCTAGTGTGGCTACAGCAGAGTGAGCAGACAGCAGGAAAAAGAATTTTGGGTGAGAACAGAGATGATAACATTGTCCCGGCCTTTACTCTGCAGTGATTGAATTTTTAGAACACAGAAGTGGTATAGTTCTTGCTGTTGCCCTGAGGACAGGCCCACGGAATAGCAAGGTGAAAGCAGGGAGACCAATGAAGAAAGATGGTAGTAATCGGGTGGAGGGGAGCACAGCATGCTTGTAAGTAGTTCTGTTCATGAATCTTGGCCAAGCCAAGACTATGAAGTAAAGAATTAAACAACGGCAGCCCACAGTGCTGGTGGTTTCTGCTAATAATTTAGGTGTTGTACTAGCTTATGTTTCCACGTGGTTAATGGGGACAGGCATATTCTCTCAGGTTAAGTCTAGATATGAGCGTTTTTAAAATAATAGAATTTGTATTTGTCCTGCCTTAGCCCAATAAGAACTTCATGTGCTAACTGAAATACAGTCTTGTGATGTAGGGTGAAAATCCATGCCTCTGGATCGGTTAACTTCATTTGATAGCCTAGTCCTTTCTTTTCAAATAATTTAAGACACACAAACTCCCCATTATCCTACTTCACAGTCAAAAGAACAGGAGTCTTGTTTCTAAGTTTTCTACCTCTTAGATGGTTGTAAGGGGTATCTTTTCAGCTAGTAAGATTTCCTACTTTCTAGATTGCTTTCTCATCAGTTTAATCAGGATAATGTGCTGTCTTCTTTAAAGCCGCAGCAAAAAGACATTACATGCTTTGTATCTTAAAAGTGAAATCTTACTTCCTTTTCTCTTAGGAATCACCAAAATCAAGAGAGATATTGTGTTTGCTGCCAGCCTCTACTTATAAATGTGAGACTTTAAAATTATTCACCATCTGCTTACATTTGACTACAAATGCTTCTACGTGTTCATGTGGTTCTCCCATCTCAAGACAGCTGTCCACAAACATTTTAATATGTATTATATTTAAATCAGTCATTCTAAGAAAGCATATTACATACACATATGTACATAAGCATTACATTTTTTTAATAAAAATGTACAGGTGGTGCATTGTTTTAGTGGGAAGCTTGAAATTTCTTGAATGAACTTCAGCTATTAGAGAACATTGTGTTAACTGTAATTATTTACACAGATAAAGTGGGCATCCAAGAGGTATAGTAGCAGCAGGGGCAGTCCGTAAGGCCTGTAAAGATATATCCTCTTGCCTTCTGGGCGCAGTTCTTTTCCTTTAAAAAGCAGGCCAGCTTCATCTGCCACCTTTCAAGGCTGGTGATTGCTCCGGTAGTGATTTCCTGCTGTTGGTGTTTCATGCAGAGTGGTATGAGAGTCCTCCTCTTTTCTTTCTTTAAAAGGAGAGTTTTTCTCCTTAAAGAAATCTGATACATATACAGCCTATATAGAAAAAGTTATATTTAGAACAAGGCAAAATATTTAACACCACAATTCATTAAGTTTCAAAACTGCATGCAAAGTTGCAGTAAGCACTTTGCCAAGATAAATATAAACAAGTCATACGTATAAATATGCCACTGGATGGTAGACATGGCTAATAGGAATATTTTCAAAGGAGATTATTACAAGCAGAGTTGCTCTGTTCATTTTACCAATAGTTTCATCTTGCCAATATTTAAGGAGTTATTCTTAATGTGTGTGCATTTTTTTCAATTTGTACCAAACTGTTTATAGTCAGAGGCTTTTACAATAAAAATACTAAATTTTTTTAACTTCTGCAAAGACTAACCTAATTTTTACCTGCTATCTTAAAATTACTTAAACGTTAGCAGTCTTAATAGGAAATACTGAGTCATTTTCTACCTCATCACAGTTTTCTCACTGAGATTTTTCTATTGTTTTTTGAGACAGTGTATGCTACATGGGTCAGGCTGGCCTTGAACTCATGGCAATCCTGCCTCTGCAATTACAGGTGTGCCACACCACACATGAGGTTTTTCTTGTTTCTCCCTTACTTAGCCAGATATTTAGTAGTATCAAAATGTAGGCTGCTGCCCTGTATACTTACAACTAATATTGCAACTGTAGCTCCTTGAATAAGTCCAGTCAACACATCGCTCCAGTGGTGTTTGTAATCAGAAACTCGAGAAAGGCCCACATAAATGGATACAGCAACAAGACCAAATTGCAGTGTCGGGCGTAAGAGTCTTGCCCAATCTCCCTTCATCCTGGCTTGAAGATAAAGCTAATAGAAAAGAACAGAGAATGGTTTATTTAGCATGCCACCTGAGAAGTGTGTTTTATAAAATACGGTCTAAAGAGTTGGCTTTTAAGATTATCAAAATACTATTACATATGGAATAGGATTTTAGGCAAGCATTCTTGTACACTAGTGCCTAAAATAGCATTGCGCTGGTAGCTTGTGTTTCCTCCTTCATGACTTCCCAGCAGGATTTCAGGGTGGCTCCTCCCCTTGTAGTTTGGGCTGTAATTCTGATGGTCAAAGGTAGTGTTGTCATTGGTTCTCAGTCTTGGAACAAAATGTTAGCATTCTGAGTTTGCTCTCACCCTGGGCCAGGCTTCTGTTTTCTAACCAGACTGTCAAGGGATTATTTGCTTAATACCAATTTACTTGAGAGCTCTGCTAGCCTCAAACTTTTTAGAAGGGCAACTGAAACTAAATCACCTGTACACATAAACATAATCTTCTGCCCAACTAAGAGAGCCTAGAGTATAGACACAGCAAAAGAATCTGTTTTTTCAACAACACCTGTACCCTTTTCTGAACACTAATCAGATCTAAGAACTCTCCCCACCGTTTATCTTTTTTTTTTTTTTATTTTTAAAGAATAAAAGAAGGATAACATAATAATAGGGGGGACTTAGCAAATTACAGACAAAATGGTAGGAAATTATCAATGGTTATCATTTTACATATTATTGTCTACAAAATAGTTTCTCAGGAAAACAAATAGACAAATAATAGTGAGTTACAGACAAAAGAGGTAGGAGATTATCAAGAGTTGTTGTACTATACTTTGGTACGTTTATCTTTTTGAGACAGTGTTTCACTGTGTAGTTCTTGGTGGCTTTGAACATGCTTCAGAGACCAGGCTAGCCTTAAACTCACAGTGATCCTCCTGCCTCCTGAGTGCTGGGATTGCAGGCATGCACCACTATGCGTGGTTCTCCTCTGTCATAGCTACCAGATTTGGACTTATCAGTATCTAGAGATTTTGATGTAGAAAGAACTTTTAATCTACTTTTTTTTTAAAATTTGTATCCACAAAAAATATCATTTTAACATTTAAAAAATTCTGTTCAGTACTGTTTTACTTGGACTTAAATTAATGCAGTCCACAGCAAACAATGTCCCTTGCTCTGCCTGTTGGCACTACCTACTTAAAACATGTACACAAATCTGCTCCCAGATCTTTGGGTGCTACTGTAGGTGTTCAGTTGTCAGCAGCTGGCAAAGAGCCAAAGGTTGTCTAATTTTATCAAGTATGTAGTATAAACATTTAGCTCTAAAAGAGCTTAACAGTTTAAGTCTGACTCATTAGCTAGTTTAAGTGCTACTGGTTTTCAGCAGCTTTTCCCCTTATTTTTGTTTCTAGTTCGAGCTATGAAAAAAAGGGTTAAGAGCCCAGTCTCAAGATTCATGTTACTTTTCCCTTAATTGGAAACTATTCATTTTTAAAGAGAAAAGCTGACTACACCTGAAGCCAGATTTGGTTATTACTGTCAAAAGTTCAGCAGTCCCCCAGGTGTGGTGGTACATACAGTGTAATCCCAGCACTCTGGGATACTGAGCCCTGAGCCTGGCCTGGGCTATACATAGAGACTTAAGTTCTCAAAATTTAAAAGGATTGGGGATACAGCTCAGTGTGAGGGTCCTGAGTTCAGTCCCCAGAACTAGAAAAGAAGAAAAGAAAGTTCACTTAACCAAAAGGTTTTCTTACTATAAAAACAGAGGCCTATGAGGCCAGGGAGAGAAACTCAGCAGCACAGCACTTCTCTGGCAAGCACAAGGTCGCAAGTTCGATTCCCAGTAGCAAAAAAGAGGCCTAGTAAGTACTTAAAGTAGTCCCAGTTTGCACTTTCAACCTATGAGCAACTCAAGAGAGAAATTTTATGGGGTTTTCCCCCCTGGCATAGATATCTAAAGTCCCTCTTAACAATACTGCGTTCCCAAAGAAACCTGAGGGATTCTAGGTGGACTGCAGATGTTAAGTGTTATTTTGTTCTCATTATTCTATTGGGGATACTGGCTCCCACAGAAAAGAATTAACATTCACTATGGATCAATAATGAAGTAAGCTCCAACACACTTTATGTGAAACCTTTACTCCTGTTAGTAGCTAGTTTTCTTTAAATAACTACCTAATTGTAAACATTTCCCGCCATCAGTGAAAGATTCACTATGGACCCAGAAATTTTTCACCCTGAGGAAGTTCTGGAATCTCCTGATTGGACTCCAGACTCTGGCTTTTCCCTTCCCAAGCCAGAAGTCTCCTACTGAGTAGGTTCAATGGCCTCACACGACGCAGTGACAGTGGCTCCACTTCCAAAGCCTGTTTTCAGGTTCATCTGTGCAATATCCTACCCTCTAGAGACAGTAGGGGATTGGCTTTCTCTACCACTCACTTACTTTCCAAAGTGTTCAACCTCTTTAACTATCATCTCCTTCCCCAGTCTTTCACTCTTCTAAAGTCCCCCTAAACACCTCACACTAGAGTGCGTCCTCCCCAGAAGACAGAACATGACTCCTAAGAAGTGGCACGACTTACTTTGTATGTCAGGAAAGAGCTTCTAGTTCTGGTAATATCACTGAACGTCACTCATGATTTGGGGCAAAGCACGTCCATGGCATAATTTGTTTTCAATGGAAGTCTCCGTTCCTCTTTCCCTAACTGCCACAGAGGAAGCCAGACTCTGAAGTTTCTAGGCACTGTTCTTAGACCAAGAAACAGGACCAGAGCACCTGCTTTAACGTCAGCTAATAGTAACAAGGCTTACTGGGCCCTTGCCTTCACGAGCTCCCTTCTTCCCTTCCCACTACATGCCACTTACTGAAGGATACGTATACTGGCCCCATTCTGGGTAAGGCAGGCAGTTGCTTACTTTTTTAAAAGTTAGAAAAACTTAATTCCCTGTCCAATATGGAATGTGGCGTCAGGCTCAGCAGCAGTTCTGTTACTTTGCATTCCCCTTCTAGAGGAAACTGCCTCACAACAGAAGGGGTGAGCCCTGTTGGACAGTGTCACCCTGCCTTCTCTTCTGCAGTAGCACTGCCTCAATGACTCGGTGCAGTAGGCCACACCAAGAGTTGTGCCGGGGCTGCGCTGTCCCTCAGGAACTGCTACTGGAAGTATGAAGATGTGCCCTACTCCAGAAATCGTAGACAGGGTGCCTAGTGCATAAGTGGTAGGTTATTTGCAAACTAAAGTTTCAAGGAAGCAGAAGCTACAGTTGGGAAAGGGGAATAAGCCACTTGGATGACAAGAAGGGAACAATGGCGGCCATGGTGCGAAAACTCACATGGCCTGTGAGACAGGAAGTGGGTTCAGTCCCTGTTGCTTACTAGTTGTATTCAGTATCTGTCTTCACTATAAACTTCTTTTCTTTTAGGAAGACGAAGGGAGTTTGCTATTTACAACCAAAAGATAAGAAAGCCTATTAAGAACCTCCCCTGTGTCCCCTCTTTTTCAGATTTGAACTTGTGAGACTGAAATGATTATAGTTTTAAGAAAGATACCATTGAGAGGAAAACTGATCTCTTTATAAATCTAAATTCAAAGAGCAAGCAAAAACCAAAATCCTAGTGGTACAAACTTACTGTATGTCCCTGAAGAGGCACCTTACATGAGACCTGTGGCCTTAGGGATGAGATTCACTGTGACCGTTTCCTACAGAGACAGCGCAAGGGTGTGGCTCCTAAGCCAGACAGCTCACTTGCCTCAGCTTCCCCCCGACCGTGCCAAGATTCTCCTCTGATCATTGCACTCGGGCCAGCCTGACTGACCCTGCAACCTGCAGTTTGCTGGTGAAGAAACCCCTGAAGTGGGACAGCAGAAGGGCAGAACAGAGGCAGTAACTTCCAGTTCTTTGCAGAGGGTCTCCCAGGACGCAAAGCCTTGTGACTGCTGCCCCGTGCAGACCAGCAAGGGGAACAAGAAAAAAAATGCAGCTGGCAGGAGCCCAGTCATGACCAACTAGGGTCACCCAGGTTGTAATTAGGGTCATCCAAAATGTTCAAGTCAGAGGTGAAGACACCCTCCCTGGCTGAGGTAAAGAGGCAAGGAGCAGAGAGGCCCAATGCAGGAAACCACACTAAACAGGGATTTGCAGCCATGACCTAATTTTTAAAGGAGAAGCTAATACCCAACAGTTAGCCTGGAACAAGGAGAATAGTTAGCTGCCCAAACCAAAAAAGGCTTCCTTCCCTTCTGTGCTTGGAAAGGGTGACTCCCTCCACTCCCTGCCCCTCACAGATTTGAACACTGTCCTGAAATACTTTCAAGAGTCCTAACAGTCTTGTTTATAAAAAACAACACCAGAGCCTGCTGCCACTGTCACCCTTGCTGTAACAGGAAAATGACTCTAGAACTGCAAAGAGACACAGGAGTTTCCAGGAGGCACAAATTTAGAATAAAGACTTAATGAAAAAGAGCATACTTGTCACCAACATTCACATTCCTCCCCCTTAGCTTACTGCAAACGAATAAAAACGTCAATCTCAAGGCCTCAGAGGGAAGCCACCACTAGGCCTCGCTTTCTTCCTCCTCTCTCTAATAGTTTACTTCAGCCTTGGGAGACTCAGAGCAAGAGCTCAGCAAATCAAGAAGCACCACTGTGTGTGCCGAGAAGAGTGAGCCTTCAGAGTCTACCATCAGCTTTCAGGAATGCCCCCTGTGAAACCAGGTGTCACTCCTGCTCGAGTGAAAAGGCAGGTTCCAAGTGTGGTTTCCACCTGCATGGAGAAGGAAATAAACTGCTCTTTCTGGGAGGGCTCCCCTACCACAAACCCCAGGTGAATGTCACTGCTCGATGCAGGGTCGGGTGCTCTCTCCTAGCACACTCACTTTCTACTCCACGTGAGGAGACACAAGCTCCTCTCTGGTAATACTAAAATAGTAAATAATAACTTCTTAGTTTGGATATTACTAGAGATTTATACAGGTAATTTCTTATTCTTTAGGACAGTAAGGAGAGGAGTCAACTTGCGTGAAAAAAACAGATGTTCAAGCTTAAAGCAGAGGATTGTAGAAAGCTGGCGCTTCAGCTGCAGGGCACGGATGCTTTGTGAAAAGCGCAGCAGCTGCTTCTTAATCTAAGCAGATTCAACACTTGGGGTACTGTGAAGAGCTCCACTGTAGTGTTACAGGGTGCATAAGGACCTGTTCAGAGTAAAACAGTAAATCTGCGTTGCATAGGGCCACAGCTGAAAATATTCAGAAGGTGTACACTTTGATTTACATAAAAGGTATGTATTTTTAAAAATTTAAATTCAGCATCTGTGACACCACATGAGCATAGGAGGTAGGGCTTTGGCAAGTGATTAGGTCATGAGCCAAAGCCGTCATGAATGCATCAGTGCTCTCGTGAGAGACCCAGGAGAGCACTCTTACTCCTCCCACGTGAGAAGACTGCAAGAGTCAGTTTGCAGCCAGCCGGAGGGGTCCTTGTCAGAACCGGAGTGTGCCACTGCACTGCTTGTACGTGTGGACTCCAGGCCAGCAGAATATATTTTTGTTGTTCATAAGCCATCGTCTGTAGTGATTGACTAAAGCAGCTCAAACTAAGACAGGATGTAACAATTTTGGGCTAAAATTTCTGAAAAACATTTAGCATCCACTAAAGGCATCTCACTGTTAAAATTTGATTTTGAAGCCGGTTTATTTTTACTTTGCTCCTTGTTGGCTGATCTTGTTAATACTTAATTATAAAGTGCACTGTCTTACAGTTTCTTAATATTCTATACTCTCAATATAAGGGCTTTCCCCCAACCCCACTGTAAATGTCAAAGGGTCAGCTTGCAAGCTAAAAATGGTTTCCACATTTTTAAAAAGTTATTCTTGAGCTGGATGTAGCTCAGTGGTAGAGGGCTTGCCTAGTATGTGGAAGGCCCCAGGTTCAGTCACCAGGACCACACACACAGTTACTTTTAAAAAGGAAGGATATATGATCTACAAAGTCTAAGTCTTCATTATCTGACATTTTTTTGTGGACAAATTGCTCATCCCTGAGCTAGACTAACAGCATGCTCAACACAGAAATAGACCTTGGTCAACTTTGAAACACTGCTTCTAAGACCAACCCCAGCTACCTAAATTGATTGTCCCACCTACATTTGATAGCAAACTGTAATGTAGGCCTCAGTTTACTCTTCTCTGGGCTTCACCATCTTCAGGACTCGTGCAATTCCTAAATTTAGATTTTGATCCTAGGACCTCAGGATTCTTGTGGTATGTGGGTAATAAGTTCTTCACTTGCCCAGTACTGGGCATTAGTACACAATTTAGGAAGCTTCTTCATGAAATATTAGCAATACTGGTACAGAATCACTGCTAAGTGAGGAACTGTATGAATCCAAATGTGTGAAAGAAAAGGCTTGGATAGGTGAGTGACACCCTAAACTCAGAAGGGTAAGGCCCAAGGAGAGGACTTTTGTGGCAGGGAAGAGAGTATAGGAGAGCGCCAGAAAGGAAAATATTTTCGTGCATTCCTCACTCCTATACCATGACTGTTCTTTGAATAATCACATAAATTTGGAATCTATATTTGACCAGACTTCAGGGATGTCACCAAGTCTGTAAACTGGTTATGTACAAGCAGCTCTGCCTTCACCCCCAGGAGCCCAGGTGCCTCTCACAAGTGCTGACTCCCTGGCACTGAGTTTGCAGGGCTGGGCTGCCTGCCAGAGGAGAAGCACAATGGCCTGGGTGTTTGCTTTACGAGACATTTTTAACTACAGGTTAATTTGGGGGTGTCAAGAATTCTTGAGGATTTAAATGACTACATCTCCACCCAAAGCTGGGACTGACCCATGATGCCAGGATGCCCAGGGAAATGAGTCACTGCCTAAGGAATTCGGAGAAGAGAGGTTAATGTTGTACATAAATATGGAAAGCAAGGAGATGTCTGTGTATTCAAGTTTGAAATCAAAGCTGGGGCCTACATCCTAATCAAGTAAATATTTCCACTGCCTACAGTCAATGAGATGCAGTAGAGTTCCTCTTTTCCAGAAAGGCCGTGGTCTCTCTTAACAAACGTATGTGTATAGAGTTTTTCTCCTTACAATTTAAATGGCTCACGGTAACCCAATTAGCAAATTATGGTTGAGCTCATTTTCCCTGTGTGTGTATTTCCAAGCTTGCTCTTCATAGGCCCTGGCATACCCACAGAGCCAGCCCGCCACTCAGGCGCTCTGTGTAGTCGTGCCGTCCTGTCTGCATGAGGTTCCTATTTCAAAAGCGTGCTCAAAACAAGTTTCTATTTGAATATACAGATGCAACAGATGTTTTGAGAAGGAAAGAGATGAAAGCATGCTAAGAGATGAAAGATGGTATACCTGAGGAAAAAAACAGTTGGTCAAAGTTATGTGTCAGTCACCTTTTTACTGCCAGACCTGCATCTGACCTTCAGATAAACTGAGCTAGAGTGAAGTAATCATGAAAGCAAAGGCACCTGATCGTCAGGAGTGGCCTACAGAGCTCACAGTATTCCTTCCTAAACCCTTCTCCCTATCTCACCTCTTTCTTCATGAAGATATTCGAGTCAAAAGCAAAAACAGCGTAAAGTGCAGACCATCAATATTAACCAAAGCATAGATTCCTCGGTCTCTGATAAGAAAGCCACAGATGAGTGAATGACAACAAAAGGCCTGGGGTCTGGTTCTGGGCCTATGAAGCCCAAAAGCTATTCAGTATAGTCACAAATGTGTGCTTTGGAGACAGTTCCCAGGATACTGGTGGCTCTCACCATTACCTACCCTGTCCCTCCTCTCCTAGTGCCCTAACTAACTAGCTAAACATACTTTTAGAAAGAACGCTAAGTTTCTGTAAAAAGGTAAATGAAGTTAGGATAGTATTTGCTATTAATTACCTTGAAATAACACAGTTCCCATGGCACATCAGGAACTTTTGAGTATATGTTTTAAAAAGGAAGCCCTAAATTACAAATCTGTACCCTTTTGCTTCCTCAGAAAATTAAATGAATGTAAGATGAAAGCCTTGCCATTTACAGAAATGTTGGAGAAGCCAAAAGTGAGTTTATAATGGTTTCGTGGATTTGAATTTCATATAACATCTGCAATTTTTACATGGTTTTCACTTTGGGAATTTGGTTTTTCAAATAAAAGCAAGATTTAGGTAAAGTTAATTTAAAATTCTCTCTGAAAAAAACTACCTCCCATCAGTCTGCCCTTCAAATTATACTATCATGGATTTTAAAAATCTAAGCTTTAAATAGTCATATGGTATTTAATGTGATAAATGAAAAAAAAAACAGGAATCTGTAAATTTACATGGAATACAACTATATAAAAATCTACTTATGAAGAAAATTAAGATACAGAAGTTATAACTGATCTGTTAGGGTAGAAAGCCCCATGTTGATAATACACTATACAGTAAAGTGTATAATTTTTTAAGTAATTTATATTTAAATAAAGGACATTTAAAAAATAAAAAAATCAATTAAAAGATCCCTTGAATGTGTGCTCAAGTCTGGTCTTCCATTCATCACTCTAATAGAAAACTACATATTCATGTGTAGCTCAATAAGCAGAACAGAAGTACAAATGTTTTCTGTCTCCTCACTACAGGCTTGGTATATAGAAAGTGCCACGCTGCTGTATAGGTTAGCAAACAGAACTGGACTTGGCAGTGGCATAGCTGACACCTCCTACAGGTGGAAACCTCTGATTCTGTGGAAGGCAGTCTAGGAAGTGTTTCAGAAAGTGAAAGGGGGAGAACAAAATCTGCTCAAATAGAAGCAGCAACAGCTGCCTTCACCTCCAGTAACCAAAGCTCACCCCGTCTTCACATCGGCTAGCAAGAGAAGAGCAGCTGCTGCACCAAAACTGAGCAGCAAGGAGCATGCCCCATACGGGAACCCCAGTACTTCAGAGCAGTGAGTGTGCCAGAAAATGACCCGAGGTAGGAGCGAAGGAGTAGTGTAGCGGGAGACTTGCCACTGTTCTGTTTAGCTCCTGCCACACAGCACAGGAGAAGGCACCCACAGGACCAGTTAGCCCCCACTGCACAGGTACCCCAGTGGTCAGGAGACAAGTACTTACTGCCAGGAAGACCATGCAGTACATGGAGAACGAAGAATGGCCTGAGTAGAAGGACAATCTATAAGAGAAAGAAAAGAAATATTAATTTCCTCTCATAGAGGCCAAGAATTGTTTTCCTTTTGTTGGTGGGACCAAGAATCAAATCCAGAGCTATGCACATGCTAGGCAAGTGCTCTACCCCTGGGTTTCCATCTCCAGCCAGAAATTATCTTGATTTCATACATTTCCTAGCTTCAGAAAGCACACAGTTCTCTCCCTCTCCCCTTAGAAGTTAGAAGGGTGAGGCTGGAGGGACAGTTAAGACAGGAACATGGAGTCCAAGGAGCGTCTGAGTTGTTATTGAGACTTTTGGGATGGGTGGTGAATCATGGACAAGTTTGCCAGGCATTTATGCAGATGTCAGGGGAGTGATACTTGACAGGCCAGAGCTGGCATAAAAGGCTGTGATTCTATTACATAAAAATTTATATGACCATGACGAGTTTTATTTTCCACTTGGAGGGTTTGCCCCTGAATAACGTAATACCTCCTTTGGAACATATCGGAAGTTGATCATCTTTTCCATGTGTATTAATACTTTGTTTTAGATGGGCACACATCTTGCCTTAGATTTCCCACCAGAGTTAAGTGCTTTCCCGTGGTAAATTGTGTACCGACAGTCCTCCGGCAGATGAACATCTCTTTCAATATTAAAGTCTACAAATATCTGAGTGATTGCAACATTTATAGCACTTCTAAAACAGAAAAGGGTCACTAAACATTCAAGAACTAAGTCCTGCTTCCACAGACTTAGCATGAAAAGATGCTCACACAATTCCAACATTTCTCTTGACTGCTTTCTCTACACAAAAAAAAGAACGTCAGTATTGTATTGATTCCATTCTGCCTTACTCAAACTCAAAAGGATTTAAAGGGCAGTGTTGATTCCCTGGATAGAGAAATGAGATAAGACCCCTAAAACATATACTAGAAAGTCATGGAAATTTGGTAGCCAAGGGTAGATGGGAAAATAAAGATTATTTAAGTATATAGTGATGATAACTACTGAGATTTTATTTTTCCTACCAATAATTTTGATTGTATTTTTTTGCAAATACATTCTAAGAATCTTTTCCAGCTACTAGGGAGGCTGAGGCAAGACTATCACAGGTTTAAGGCCAGCCTAGGCACCTTAGGGAGACCCTATCTCGAATTTGAAAAGGGTCAGATGTGTAGCTCAATGATAAGAGCACCCACCTAGTATGTGCAAGGCCCTGGGTTCAATCCCCAGTACCACAGAAAAGAGAACTTACAATTCCTGTGCCACAAGGAATAATAATTAAACCTCACAATTATTCTCACTTTAATTATGCAAAACAAAAATAAGTGAATCACTTTTTAGTTTATTTGGCCACAAAGAATGAAGAAATAAAAATCCTATTTTAAATTAGATAATTAGACCAGACTTCTGAACATTTTATAGTTGGTTTCAATAAGTTATACTGAAAAGACTATAAAAGTAAATTTCAGAGACTGTCAAAGCCCATCAAATCAATATAACCATGATCATAGAAATACTGTATTCTCAAACCATTTAGCTTCACTAAATCTTGTACTTCAGTTGAAAACAAAATGGTTTCAATTTTGTAATTCTGAATATATATTTTTATTCAGGATAGAGTTGGCCAAGAAGCCTGCCTATGACTTTGACAGGGATTAAAAACAGTAACTATTCAAACTCAATTTGTAAGTCTTCTCCATAGTAATTTATCAAATACATCACAGTAATAAGAACTTTCATTAAATTAATAAACAGAAATAACAATATAGCACAAAATTAAAATTCAAATCATTCCTATTCCACACAAATTAATTCTATTCAAGCCTCTAGGAGACAAGGTCCTTCCTGCAGTTACCTTATGTCCGTAATTCACAAATGAACAACACTGTATGGATGCTTCAATAAAATCCAAGGAGTAGTCCAAATGCAAACTGTTTTCATGTAATAACTTCAACTGTGCTATTTCAGATTTTGGCCCTAGCTAGGAACCCTGCCCTTATTAGGTCTGTCCTTAGATTTCAAACTAATTCTTCACCTCACCATAACCCTCAGATAAAGATACAGTAACAGTGTAAGGAAGCTTTCCATCAACTCTTAGGAAGATGTTTTCAGAGAAAGTTTGCAGAGATAAAAATTATTTTCCAGTACCCATTTTCACAAATACTGGGAAATAGTCTGTTAACAACAACCTTCAGTTACCAAGTACATTGTTCTTGACTGTTTAACTTACTGGGATTGGGACTCTATTACAAGTGGCAAATTCAAGATTTCTTTCATTTGTCAGCCAAAGAGTCCTTCAGCAGATGAACGGATAAAGAAAATGTGGTATTTATACTCAGTGCAGTACTACTGTGTCATAAAGAAAGGTAAACTTGAGTCACCTGTAGGAAAATAGATGTACTTTGAGTCCATAATGTTAAGTGAAGTAGATCAGCCACACAAGCTTAACTATCACATGGCCTTCCTTATGAGAGACCCAGAATGTAAGAAAAAGAAGGTAGGTAATAGCAAGTAGGGAGAAATAGCTTTTGCAAATGGGAAGGGGATAGAAAAACTGTGCTGCTATAAATATGGATATGCATGTATCACTGTAATATGATGCTGTTAGCTCTTTTAGGAAGATAACTGGAAGGGGAACTGTTGGGTCAAACAGGATTTCTAGTTTTAGGTTTTTGAGGACATTCCATACTGACTTCCACAGTGGGTGTACTAGTCTACATTCCCATCAGCAATGTAGAAGGTTCGTTTTCCCTGCAGCCTCACTAGTGTTTGTTATTATTTGAATTCTTGATGACAGCCATTCTTTCTGGGGTAAGTTGGAATCAATTTGAAAATATCTTTTCTTGTGTTCATTTCTGAGTAATCATTTTCCTAAATGCTACACTGATGACATTTTTACACACCACTTTGATATCATTACATTATCTCTGACTTCTTTTGCTATTAAAAGATGAGCCATCTCTTTGCCATTCCGTCTAGGATATCTGTCTTTTCTCTTTAATTGCCTATTCTCTGCAAGTCCTCAGTATTATGCAGCTCCATTATCACATGTCTAGTAGGGGTTTCTTTTTTTAAATAGGTGAGTTGCAGGCACGGTAGTACACACCTGTAATCCCAGCACTCAGAAGGCAGAGGTGGGAGGATCGCCATGATTTCAGGGCCGGCCCTGGGTTATATAGCCCTGAACTACCATGTAGTAAGATGTGTCTCAAAACACCAAACGTGAACAATAAATATAAAACTTATCTTCTTGGCTTCCTACATCTGAGGATTTATATAATTCACTAGTTTTGGAAAGTTCTCAACCCTCTGTCCTATTTTTTGTGAGATTCTGGCTGAATGTGAAATGCATCTTTTCATTCTATCCTCCCATCCCTTAAGCCCTCGTCTGAATTTTCTTGGTCTCTTTAGGCCAAACTTCAATTTTAGTCCTCCTTTTCACTTCTGCTTAATCTGTTACATTTTAAAATTTAAATTACTAAAATATGTATCATTTTGGCTGTTTTTCAAACCTCTATGCTTATATTCTGTCCATCCTGTGTCATACTTTCAATCTACTTATTTTAGTCTACATAGTAGATATTTTGTATTCTGCATAGTAATTCTAGTATCTGCAGTTTTGATAGTTTCTGTAACTTATATTTGTTGACTCACAAGGTAGTTTGCTTCTATGTTTGCTCACTTACATTACATTGTGAGTTCACGTCCTTGGGACTCTCGGGAATGTCACAGGCCTTGGTTTAAAGAAAGTTCTTTCATGAGATTTACGGGCACCTCTGCTGTATCCAGTATCAATCCACTTTGACTTTCAGACCTATTTTTAAAGCCACATGGCTAGCACGAACTGTGGCTCCAGACTAGTGAGTGTGGTCCCGTGGTTAAGAAGCTCTCGCTAGGAGAACAGTGCCCTTCAGAGTCCTCAGAGACACCATGTATCTTGCCCCGCATGTCTGCCTACTCTGCTGAGCCTCAGTCTTTTATCTTGTTTGCCCTATATTCACTGTCTTTGTATCAAACCAAGGCTCTAGGCTTCCACAAGTTGGCAGGTAGTTTTAAGGCACATAGTGAATCTACAATACTCCCCAACCCTGGCTCTGGCTTCAGAAAAACTCCGTTACCCTCCCACCAGCCAATTCTTTGGGGGAAATTATATGTATGTCTCCATATATCCTACCATTGGGGGTCCCAAGTAGCTGGGACCACACATACGCACCAGCATGCCCAGCCTTATACATACATTTCTCAATGAAATGAATATATGAAGAACTTAGACAAACTATAAAAAAAGATGTTGTCAATGTGTGATTAATCACTTGAGAACACCAGTTTGTCCTTTGTACACTTTCAGCAAGATAAAAGTGAAATCGCACTATGAGAAATTTTTTTAACATTATTTCCTGATTATAACATTAACATAACAGATTGCCTTAAAGTATAAACTTCCCTCTGCGATAAGCTTTGAACACTGACTCATCTATTAAAAAGTTTTAAACGTCTCATACAAGTGGACATATGGACAGGGACCTCTTAGCACCATTTTTCTCCATATATTAGCTTTATTTCAAAAGGATATTTACAATTAATAAATGTGTTAAGTGCTCTGGCATTCAGGGTCAGATTATCTGCAAAGGTCTCACACCTAGTATACTGGGGACTCACCCTGGTGACGAGGGGAAATGCGTATTCCCTTGTTTACTTGCAAAAGGATGGTTTGGGAATGTCTACAACACGAAAAACGTTTTTGACCCAGTGATTCCTCTTTGAGGCATCTGTCCTATAGCTACGCACGCATACACAAAGGTGTGTGCTCCAGCACCGCTGGCCACTCAAGGACCCAAGGAGGACTGGGTTCTAGCATAATTCTCAATGCTGTCTATGCCAAAATGACATCAATACATCTGTGTGAACTGACATAAAAAGTATCATGGAAGATTTATTTTAAAATGTATCATTTATTTAAACCACACAAATACAAAATTTCATATTCAATATAAAATACGTAGGAAAATGAAGGGGTA